ATAATGGACCATGTCACATATAACGACAAAAATGCACCATTTAATTCACTATACTCTCATATAATTTGAGATTTATGTTTTGTTTAATCTATATTTGTCGATAAATAAATGGATATACGTTGGTATTATGCAGAAACAAATCAAGTATTTTTATAAGATAATAAATACTTGTTTGTCAAATTTTGATTGGTACCTTACAACATTCTTATAACTAAATAGGTTGAGCACATTGTCAAACTAATCTGAAAATATGATGCTTAATTTATCGGATGCTAAATGGTCGAGGTTTTTCATTACTTATATATAATTGGTTTCAAGTTCCCTTAGAAATATTTGGTTTAAAGTGTACCTTTGCCTTGATGTCTAAAGAAAGAATCCATATTTTTCAGGTCAGGTATTGATATTGTAATTTCTCTTTCAGGCTTTTGAGAGATAATTAGTTTTTAAAATTCACCCCCTAAATCAGCAATGAATAATTTCTCTTCCAGGCTTTAGGAAATAATATTGGTGTAATGTTACACACGTATATTAAGACCCCGTTCATTTCACCGATTCGAGTTTTGTCACATTAAAAAACTGTCAGAAACAGTCACATCTAACTTTTTTACTACAGTAAAAAGCTCTCACATAAAATCACATTTCAACTTGAATTAAAAACTCGCGTCAGCGAACTAAACGGGCTCTAATAATTATCGCAACTGCCACTTCTTGGTGATATATATATATATATATATATATATGTGTGTGTGTATTTTGTACAAATGCTCTTTAATATTATCTATTCTCTAATGGTTTAAATGTATAATTCCTACTAGCCTTTCATTCTAGCTAGTCGCCGACTCATGAGACTTCAAACTGTATAATTTCCTCCTTTTATCTACTTTGATTTATTGGCTTGTGAGGAAACAATTGTAGCATTTTCATGCCCTTATCCATCTAAGAAGGCCATGGTCATGACTATCATTAATGTCTTTGCATGAAGGGTTAAATTTAATTATAAAATGTTGTCATTATCTGAGTAGTTTCATAAGCTGACAAAAATCATCTTATTATTTAGGACAGCCTAAGTAATGTTTTCACTATGTGGGTATACACATAATAAATGCTACTTAATTTCTTTCAATATTTACACAATATTATATTTCTTCGACAGAAATTCGACATTATTATATCATTCACCACCGAATTGTGTTAAATGTAGGCATATAGGAATGCTTTCTCAAGACAATGAATCAGCACAAAAAGACAAATTTTTATACACGTTTTGTGGGGAATATTTGCCGTTCGGCTGCCCTTTGTTGATTTTGTTCGTTTATAAATTGCCCATATTTCGTATGTAATTAATGTCTCTGTGTGTGTATGTATTATATAATGGATTTAGGACAGAGAGAATCTTCACTTACGTACATATTACAATCATATATATATATATATATATATAAATCAAACCTGAATTATTGATGTTGGATTTGTATATATCTGATCTTAAACAAACATCATTTAGGTTTTTAGGTACAAAGATATAGGGTGTGTGTGTGGTTTTTTTTTTTTTAAAAAAAAAAAAAAAACAAGTGTCTGACATATATGTAATGCGGCACTACGTATAAAATATGTACGAAAATACGTATGAAAATAGAGACACAAACTTGAGTTTAAGAAATAATATATATTTGTGCATGATCTGTCGATTAAACTGATCAGCAGCTTTATTTGTCTCCTGAAACAGCGCTTGGATTTTGTTTTTTTGTTTTTTGCGAAAGGAAACAGTGCTTGATTAAGCATGAATATATGGTGCTACTTTATACAACGCAACAAAGCCATTCCACCAACAACATTGACCATTATGCTTGAGACGTGTAATGCGAGCAAAAACAACGTTTGAACGAATTGATCATATATACCATATTGATCAGAAAGCATCTTATGCTTTCACTTATTTTTATTTTATTGTCAATATTATTATTCAATATTGTTGTACTACAATTGGGAATAGGGTCACATGTACACCTACGAATGGGAATAGTGCATATACATATCTGATCAATATGTAAAGTTACATAATCGATAAGATATTTTCTGTACAACAATATTGAATAATTTCTGTTCATTAATAAATCAAACCGTTCGTTACTTTCGTTTAGTACATCATGTTCTATTGTACAGTAATTGCTTGATATTGAAGTGAATAAATTGATTTCGTATATATAAGCATTATTCATACTATATGCACAAAGCTTACAACATGAAATGAAGGGTTAGTATTATAATACAGCTTATGGTTAACCAAATTCGGTTTTTTTTTTTTTTTTTTTATCATCAATTGTTAGGTTATTATAAGGTTCAAAACCCTAGTTAACCTCAAATTCTCTTAACACGTACGTGGAAGAATTAGTTGAAATAAAGTAGATATCATCATTGGCCATTAATTATAAAAAGGGAAATTATAAACAAGGGCATTGAGGATAAGTGATGCTTATAATCTAACATATTTAAAGTCAATGTTGATGCTTCACTGTGACATCAATTATGATCATTAAAACTTCTACCAAAAAAAAAAAAAGTGAGTGATCATTAGCACGTATACAGCTATATATCTTAACGCCAAATTTGACATATATGCATATATATATATATGTATGTATATTACGCATACACTTATATTTATTATGAATTTTCCTAACTTGGCCTTATATTTGTTTTGGCCGCCTAGGTATGCCCACTCTGGGTAGCTAGTTTGGACATTCCCGTAAGCTATATACATATACATATATATATATATATGTATATGTATATGTATATGTATGTATATGTATATGTATGTATGTTCCGAAACCAACTTTGTTTTTAAAGTACTTAATTAATTAAGTGCCAAAATACAAGTAGCTGTTATCCCAGATGCATTAATATTATATATAATTCTCCTTCAATGACTTCAATATCGTAGTAAGTAGAAGAGTACAGATGCTTTGATGGATTTTTTAATGATTTAATTTATTAATATATAGGCGTTAGAAATATTCTGAAGGGTACTATTAATATTGCCATCCTCATTGTGGACGAAGTTTTTTAAACATATTCAATTATTGCGAGACGGCCTACCTCAGCTTGGCGGAAGCTACAAGTTTTAATTTGTATTTTTATTGATGATCACTACCAAACTAAGGAAGCCATATTAATCTTCTCTCTCTCCCCCTCTCTTTTCTGCAAAAGAGACCATATATTCCTTTTCTCTATGCTCAAATTTCTAAATGATATATAATTCTTTCTGTAAGAAACATACAATTAATATTCGCAGAGGTTGTGGTAGTTCTTGACTCATTTATAGTTTTGGTTCTTATCCCTTGACGCAGAACATAAGAAAAGAGTGGTTGTACGCGTAGTCTAGTGGTAATTTTACATCTGATTTTATTATAAAGTGTCGAGTTTGAATCTCTCTATCCGTAAGTTCAAGAAAAGAAAAGAAAAACACAAGAGAAGAAAAAAAAGAGAAAATAATGGCGCAAAAGCAAAACAAAACAAAGGGGTCCTGCATTATTTTTCAAGAAAGAAAACAGCAGATATGACATTGATTGGCCTTAAATTATAAAAGCTTTTTTTTTTTAAAGGATCAACTAAGGTTTTAATTTTGGATATTGCAACAAATATATCATTTTTTTACAGAGAGAAAAACATTAGAGGTAGTTTTAAGCAGCGGTAAAATTCAGTTCATTGTTGAGGTTTGGAATTCGAATACCCCACCTCAGTAAAAAGAACAATAAAGGGCAACGAAGAAAGTTATAGGGAGTGAAAATCCTAATTTGATGATTTTAGAAGAGAGAAGCAAACCAATCAAGAACAGCTTTGTCAATTTTGAGAGCGTGATGTAATTGGAACAATGGGAAAATTAGACATACAGTAAAATTATACTAGTCATATTGAAAGTTAGCAAAAATTTAGAATATTTTAAAACAAAAAAAATTAATACCACTTAAATAGTTACTATGTAATTTTATAGTATAAAATATAAATATCAGTGTAATAATTATTTTATAATTTTTCTGTTCCTAAATTTTTTCAAAAACTTGCAATATTTGCCGTTTGGTATCATTTTTAAACGAGAGAGAGAGAGAGAGAGAGAGATTTGAGTGGCAAATCTGGATCCAAGCCATGCAGAGGAAGAGAGAAATAGGCCAAGACTTGAAATGAATTAAAATTAATAAGCTAATAGATTTGAGTGGCAAATCTGGATCCAAGCCATGCAGAGGAAGAGAGAAATATGTCGAGACTTGAAATGAATTAAAATTAATAAGCTAATGTTTACATACGTTAATAAATAGGCCAAACTACTGTTTTTGTCCATAACTTGTCTGGTTATTGTCCATAATTCACAGTTGTTATCCATAACTTGTCTGGCTACGAATCATAACTTGACAAGTTTATCTATAACTTATCTGATTATAAACTATAACTTAACAAGTTATGGCCTATTAATTTCTATGACTAAAAATTAATCTATATACTTTCTTAAGCTTTTCAAGATATATTTTCTACTATTTTCGAAATATTATTTATAAAAGGGAGAAAGAAGGAAATATGTCAAGATTTGAGATGAATTAAAATTAATAGGCCAATAGTTTACATAAGTTAATAAACAGGCCAAATTACTGTTTTCATCCATAACTTGTCTGGTTATGAACTATAACTTGACAAGTTATTGTCCATAACTTATCTGATTATGAACCCTAATTTGACAAGTTTGTCCATAATTTATCTAGTTATGAACCATAACTTAACAAGTTTGTCCATAACTTATCTGATTATAAATTATAACTTAACAAGTTATGACCTATTTTCATATTGACCTATTTCCTACTATTTCTCTTTATAAAATAGTGAGGCCCAGTTACATTTGTTAAGCCCACAAACTTGTAGCCCAAAACTTCGCATTAACGCAGACGTAATAGAAAATATTAGAACTACTTCCTCCTTGATTACTTGTCCTCTGTTACCTTCTTCATTTTGTAAAGCAAAGACCTATTCAGTCGAGCATCGCTTCCACAGGTGACTTTTTAGATTTTCATTGTTATTCCCTTCTGTCCAGCTTCAGCTCGTAAATGGGTGTTTGTTTTTTTCAATTGTTTTTCAGATTATAATACCAAATTTGTCATTTTTATGATATCTCTGTACGATTAGCTTGTTTCCGAAAATTCTGATAATGGATATAGTGCCCAAATGGCATAGTCTATGAGATTTATTTTTATCTATTGTATCAGTAATTTATCCAAAAAGAAAGTTTGTTCCCGTGATTAATTGTTTGTTTTAACTTATACCCACATTGGCTTTTCGTTGTATTGATCTAGCTAGTGAGTAGTGTCGTCTTAAATGATGTCGAGAGATTGTTGAATTCTTTAATTATATCTGCATATATGTGAATAATGAGTTGTGTTGATATGGTTCAAGTATTGTTATGCCGCGTCAGCATATTAAAAGTGTCAGCTAACTGGTTAGTTAAATCAGTTAGAGTCTCTAAAACAAACAATTAGGTTTGGTTCGTTTTGCTGGCTCGAGTTTTCAATTTGAGTTGAAAATTGAATTTATGTGAGAGAAAATACTGTAGTACAAAAATTTAAATTTGAATTTTTGTGAGAGCAAAGACTTGAGTTGTGATTTGAACCAGCAAAATGAATTAGGATGTTAGAATTTATCTCAGTATTAAGTCATGTCTCTTGTATACCTATATATACTAGTTGGTAATTTCTAGAGTAATTAACTGAGTGATTTGGGTGTAATTGGGCTCAAAGTGAGGTTTCAGAGAGGGTGAGAGGCCTTGTTCTTCTATGTGGTTCAAGATCGTGTGGCTGTGTAAGTGAGATCAGAAGGGTCAAACTTGATCCTTGAGGGTGTAACAGAGATTAATATAGTGGATTGAGTTGTTGGCTTGGCTAGGGTAGATGTAGGATTCCTCATTGAAATCTGATCCTTGGTGTTGATTGTGTGTTCTGCAATTTTCTTTCTTTTTTTGTTTCTGCAATCGTTTTGGGAAATTGCTCGAAGCTCTTTCATCTGTTTTGGTGTTCAATCCTTGATATTGGTTCAGAATTTCTAACAAATTGGCTCGTGAGCTTTGGGATGTAGGAATCAACATATTTTGTCATACCGTGGTTTGATTTGGTTAATGATTTAATTAGGTGCAAAAAAGGATTCAAATTCCCTTTATATAAGTGGAACTATAGCATCTTAATTCTTACACTTCTATTCTATTGGGAATTTTGGGATTTGGCCCTGTGAGTTGGGCGTTTACCTTTTCTTTTGGGAACTATTGTTTTAAGACCACAAGATTTGGTGTCTATGTGACCTTAATCGTTTTGTGTCAACATTCCATTTTCCTTTTCTTTTGGGAACTATTGTTTTAAGACCACAAGATTTGGTGTTCGAAAGAAACAAGATAAACCCGCAAACAAGGGAACCTAAGTGGGAGAAAATAGATGGATTGGGGCTGTTTTGGCCTATGTCATAAAGAAAAGTTACACTAGGCAATCCAAACAGCCTATAAGTATCTGAAAATGTGCATGTTATGGAGCTATAGTTTTACAGGATTAGGAGCTGATGCTTTTCATTTTGGGACCTGAGATGGGAAAAAAGAGAGAAAAAAAAAGGGGAAAGGAAGAAAACAGAGAACACTCTTGATGCTTTTCATTTTGGGACCTGAGATGGGAAAAAAGAGAGAAAAAAAAGGGGAAAGGAAGAAAACAGAGAACACTCTGGGTGCGTTTGGAATTGGTTCCAAAACGTTTTTATTTTTATATTTGAATCGTTGAAATGAACGAGGCCTTAGTATTAGTGATTAGTAAATGATAACATATAAACGTTTTTGTTTTTTGTATAAAAATGAAAACAAAAACGTTTTTATTTTTATATTTGAATCGTTGAAATGAACGAGGCCTTAGTATTAGTGATTAGTAAATGATAACATATTTTTTAAAAATAGTAAATTATAGCATAATTTGATATTTTAAATTTTAAACATTATTAAAAACTTAAAAATACCCCTAAATCTCCTTTTTCACCTCACTCCTCCCTAAACATCTATTTTTTTTTTTAAATTAGTAAATTATAGCATATTTTTAAAAATAGGTAGATTATAGTCAAGTCCACCATGTCCGGGACTAGCGGCCGGCTCCGGCGATCGGAGACCATTTTTCGGCAACTTGTGACTGTTTTTTCGGCAATCGGTGACCGTTTCCGGTTATTGTTTTTCAGCGACCGTTTAACACTGTATTTACTGGTAAATACCGTATTTACTAGTAAATACTATATTTACCCGAAATGCCTACCACCGACTCTGGCTACCGTTTAACGTTGTATTTACAGGTAAATATCGTATTTACTAGTAAATATTATATATACCTAAAAATCCGGTCATCGACTTCAGTGACTGTTTAACATTATATTTATCAGTAAATATTGTATTTACTAGTAAAAATCGTATTTACTAGTAAATATCTTATTTATGCGAAATTTCAGGCACCGATTCTGACGAATGTTTAACACTGTATTTACCAGGTAAAGATTGATTTTGAGGAGTTCAATATCGAAACTTCAAGTAGTCATTTATTTTAGTTGTATCATTGTTTATTAGTTTAGTTTTGTTATCAATATATCGTTTATCTTAGTTGTTATTTTGCTATCGTTTTTTATGTAAGCTATAAATATTCACATTGCTTATGTAATAGGGAGACTTGAATGTTTTGACAATTGTATTAGAGTTGAGTTTCATCTCTAAATTGGGGATTCTCCCCTTGTGGGGTTTCTTTTATGTAGATTGGGATTGCATGTCCCATCGTCCGTCTGATTAGGCCGGTAAAATCATTTTCTATCAATTCCGCTGCATTAGATTATCTGTCATTCATCAACACCAGGACTATGTCGGCGCATAAACACTGAAAAAGGGGGAAAAAGAGAGAAATTTGAAAAACTTCAATGATAATACGGTTTATTTATTTATTTTTTAACCGTATTGCGATGAATTGTTGACATGTTTTTAGGTTATATACTGGCAGGATTAAATACAGGAAACAGCCATCTAGTTATTTTGACCCCTAAACATAATAGTCCTGTGATGGACTTGGGGCTAGTAATGCATAGTGGCGGTTGCCACTGCAGGAAGGTAAAATGGCGGGTTCAAGCACCGAAGAGTGTTGTAGCTTGGGATTGCGACTGCTCGGATTGCGCCATGAGGGGCAACACCCACTTCATTGTTCCTGCCTCGAGATTTCAGCTTTTGGGTGATTCCGAACGGTTTGTTACAACCTACACCTTTGGCAGTCATACTGCAAAACACACGTTTTGTAAAGTTTGCGGCATAACTTCATTTTACCGTCCGCGTTCAAACCCCGACGGGGTTTCAGTTACATTCAGGTGTGTCGATCCTGGAACTCTAGTCCACGTCGAGGTTAGGCGTTTCGATGGAAAAAATTGGGAGAGCTCGTACGCTCAGACTGGTGTTGCTTCATGTTCAAAGACAGATGAATCTGCACAACGTGAAGGCTCAAGTTGATTTGTGCCTAGATTATTTTGTAGGTTGGTTCATTAGGATGAATTTCGCTTCAGATGTCAAAGAATTGTAAGAGATTGGGATGCTGGCGTGGTGGGGGTTGGATTTTCGTTAAAAATAATATTGCTCCTTTTATTTGGAATTGAAACTTTAAAATTTTATGGCATAGTTTTATGACTCGGAAAAAATTATTTTTAGACTTCTCTTGAATTGAATTCGTATATGGGGAATAAATTTGTCTTTTATATATGTGTGCTTAAAGGGCGGAGCTGAGGTAGGTGGCGGCCACCTAATTATATTTTGTTAAAATTTACAGTTGTCTCTTTTAAAAATATGAAATTGTAAGTCTGTTTCTTCTTTATCCCGCTCAAAATTTGAAGTTATAATTTATTTTTCTGACTCCGCTCTTGGGCCTTACTCATGCTTTGATAGCCATTGCTGCAACTTTAATGTAATGGAGTTTGAAACCGCATTAAGTGTCAATTATTATGTCTGTTGTGACATTCTTGTCAAATTACTTCTTAGTTAAATCAATTCCTTATCCAAGGCAACTACATATTGTAACCAATCGGATTATTATTTACCAAAAAGATATCCACGGATTTGAATCTAGTGGAATAAAAAGAACTAGCTATAAATATAACTGTTTGGGATACAACTAATTATTGCTCACAATAATTCTAATTCATGGCATTAAGTTGATTAACATAATTAAATTCATAACTCAAAATTAATTTTATTGATAATATCAAAGATAATAAAAATACACTGATTCGATTGGCTCTTAAAATCACATATATTGAGTTTTTTTTGTTTTTTTTTTTGTTTTGCCAAGTACATAATTTGTGTACTTATTACAAATGGAAGTAATATAGTGTTATAAATTACATTAGCAAGACAATGGTAATCCAAGAAGTACACTATAGACGTGACATTGCTTCAACAAAATGTATACATACACGTTTAAGCAAATACATAGTACATAAAATGATGCTCACATATAAGTAAACAACAATTAATTATACTTAAGGCAATAACATTTACCCCGTTGTGTATATATCAGCGAGCTATGAGCATACAATTAATTATACTTAAGGCAATAACATTTACCCCGTTGTGTATATATCCGCGAGCTTTGAGCACACATTTTGCGTTTACTAATGTTGGAAATCTTGTTTTGCATCTCAGAATACATTCTACATCATTACGACATATGCCACGATTTCAAAGAACTCTGGTCATAGGTTCTGTTGCTCATAAAAAAAAAAAAAAAAAAAGAACAACAAAATGAGAATTTTTTCTTTTTGGTAGAAAGTTGTCTATAATGTAGTAATTTAGATGTTTGTGTGTGTAGATTGCAACAAAATATACGAATCCTTTTACATTGTTGTACTATTTGTATACAAGAGTAAGTGATTGATTTACTCCAACATATTTGATTTTAGGCGGTTAAAGCCAACTTTGAAACTAAATCCTAGTTTGGTTAGTGACTTTCAAAACATCCCAACTCATTTTCCGACATAACAAAAACGTTCCATAAAGTTCCTACCATAAAGAGACTATTAAGTTAAATTAAAATGGAGATTTCTATGGTAAGGCTTGAAAACAAAAGAGTTATCTAAATTTTAATTTTTAAATGTTAAATATGTTTTAAAAACGGTCTGTTCTGCAAGAAATTTTTTTGTAGTTGCATTACCTAAATGCTAACTTTTTATTCGATGGGTATACCACATAAACATGATGATATGTTACACCTAATTCACTGAATAATTCTTCATGTTCTGCCTATCATTTTTTTTAGATGTGATTTAACCTATATTCAACGGTGGAAGGAAAAATTATTAGTAGGAGATCCTACCGATCCAATAAAAATTGGGCAGATTGAAACACATTATAGTCTCATATTTAATTGAGGCCATTACGGTTGAGATACACACACATGTAAATGAAATGACCATAAAAACTCGGTTAAAAAAAAGGTAAGTCAAATGCTTTATTTCATCCATTTTCATATTCTATACACCTTTTTTTTTTTTTTTTTTTTAATTTTAAGAAAACGCATCCTTAGTTTTAATGGAACAATTTGGTATACTCTCTCTCTTAAGACGTACATGGTGGATGTTAGGGAACGACTAAAATGGATTCACACCGTAATTAAGTTGGAGATATTTAAACAATATGTCATCGTTTAAGTTGACGGCTAAAGTAGGCCCAGATTTATCTAGTGCTTATTTGGATACAATAATTTATCAATGTTTTGATATTCTAATATAGGTCGGTAAAAGAGAGAGACTAGGAGACGTTTAGTTCATGAATTAGAATCATGAGATTAGAACTATTTTTGATTTACGTGTATTTTTTGTGAGAGAAAACACTATAGTGAATCATGAACCATGATTCAAATCAGGATACGAATCCCCTATTAGAGAAGACGAGTTATGGTATAGAATATACAAATTGTTACATAATCTATAAATTGATAAGCATTTTATTAGGTCTATCAGTAACCATTTACACACAAATACATATGTTCAAGCCAAATATATATTATGACAATAAGAGTATTAAGTATTAACTAACCTGAATCGGCAAAGAACAAGGAGAAAGATTAATATGTGGGTTAAGAAGTCATCGGATATATAACTCATTGTTATCTTAAAATCACAATATATATGTCATACAACGTACAATGATTGTTAGCATTTATAAGATCACGTAATTCTTCAATGAATGAAAGATCATTTTTTCAGAGCAAACTTCTATGGAAATCTACAACCAATCGATGTGAAATGTTAATTGACCATCAATCTATTCATCATGAATAATATTTTTTGAAAGGAAAAATTTTAATATAAGCTTGTTTGTCCCTTTAACTTATGGTAGCTCTGTGTGTAATCATTTTATAAATGTAGAACGTTAATTTGCTTGAGACTTAACTTTAGAAGTTAGATTATTCAAATAGAGAAATTAATAAAGTACTAAGTTGTTTGTCCCTCAACATTCATCATGAGTTAACCTTTTAATTAGCTAGATTTTTATTATCTGATATATATATATAATTAATTAATTAGAAGTACATCTATACGTATATAATAACTTATTGACCATTTAATTAGGGCTTAAATGCCATTTCCATTTTCTTTGTGCTGATCATGCAAGAGGAGATGATTAATATAACATATGATCATGCATTAGTGATTAATGGTATTTTTACAGATTAGATAAGTTAATTTTAGTTAGTTCAATTTATAAGATGTAGTGGAGCATTTAGACAACTAGCTGTAGCTTCATAATTTTTTGCTCTACACATATCAAAAGATGATAGACTTTTTAAGAGCTTGTTTGGTAAGAGAGAAAGATTGAGTGAGTTAAGGAATAAATTAGGTATAACAAACACAATAAAGAAAAAGAATCTCTCCTTCCTTTCCAGTTAGGAACTACTATTGTAAAGTAAGGATTTCTTTTTGTTCTTAATATATATATATATATATCCGTGAACATCACAAAAACAAAGCAATAAATCCTCGTGATTGAGGAACAAAGTGGCGAATTTTGGAACATCAACCGCCGATGGTTGCAAGTTCAATGCGATAGAATATATACCTCTCGTTGTTTACACCTATTTTGAAGTATGAGCGTAATACATAAGCGTAAATTATATGCAATATTGGTAAACAATAATTGATTGTTCTAAATTATAATCAAATATAAGTTGAAAATCATAGATTGCGCGATAAACAAAATTAGATCAAGTACATGATATTCTCAACCCACGATTTACTAATCATCAATATATTTAATCCAACAATAGCATTTACCCCTTCTTACTATTGCATTCAATAATAATCAATTTTATGGATTCTGTTGATGAGGCAAATGAAGCTAATTATTAATCGAATTGCAACACATGAGTACTAAATAAATAAAAAATCACAAATTACAATACTTTATAAAAAGAAAAACCCCGCATTTTAGTCCTTTTTTTCCGTTGGAAGAAACCTTGTTGCCAGGTTCAAAAGAAAATATATAAACATAGTTTGGATCTCTAAGATGTTATAAGCACATAATTAAGGACAACTATATATATAAAGGAGCTCTATGGCACAAATAAATATATGTTCGAACTTCATATATATTATGACATTGAAATTAAAGTTTTCTCAACGAACCTGAATAATTGAAGACAATAAGGAAGAATAATATTCTTCAGGGTCAACATGTGAAGAGTACCCTTGTAACTCATATAGTTTTCTGAACTTGAACATACAATATAGATGTAAGAAAAGCAATTGTTGGGTTTTGTATGACGTTTGTTTATTTTTTATTTTTTATTTTTTTTTATTTTTATAGTACCAAGCTCCGTTTAAGTATATTCTTTGAGGGCTTAAATTTTAGTTGATGGAAACTTATATTCTCTGTACATGAATGAATTTAATCAATGTAGTCACAAAGTCAAAAAAATGTTCCAAATTAAACCTACAATTTATTGGCTATCTATCTCATGACATCCTTTTCACGTAAGTATTTTAAAATACAAAAATTTTCTTTAGGCCTTATTGTTACAAGTTGAATGCAAATAAAAAAAAAATCATTACTAGATTATCAATAGTCCCGAAACTTTCATGATAAGTTTCTTTCATCATTTAGCTCACACAAGTAGCTCGGAAAAAAAAAAATGTTTCTCAAATATGCTAAGCCTTTTCATTAAGAAAAATAGACAACATTAATTTTACATAATCGGCTCCTTGTTATTTTATAAATTTGAGATAATAATCTTATTGTTAAGGTTATAATTGATTAATTGGCACTCATTTCACAAAGTTGGACTTAATTAAAGATTACAAGCTGGTCGATCGCTAAACATGCCTCATATATATGTGTGACATGTGTTACCTTTAATCGCTAAATTACCAAGAAAATGTTACAAGAAAATTGATATATATGTCGATAAAGATTTACAGTTGGAATTTTTATATCCTTCATCCCCATAAAATCACAATATGTTTCATCTGACTTTACCATGGACTTAAGTACTCTATTCTCTTTTCTTTTTTTTCTTTTTTTTTTCTTTTTTTTTTTTTTGTAAAGGTAGGGCTGTATAATTTAACAAGAAAACTTTTAAAAAATATATATTATCTCTAAATATGGACATATATCTTGGTATTCAATTAGGATTTGTAATTATTGTATTTGAAACTAAAACATTTAATTTTTATTGAAATTGGCCCTTCATTATAAATATTTGCAAAAAGTTAAAAAAAAAAAAATTTATCATAACCCAAAACAAGCACGCCCTATTCCTACACCTAATCTTATGCCGTAAACTATATATCATGGAAAAAGCCACCTTTTCATTTGAAATTGGAAAGCGGAACGAAGATGCTCAAGATCTTCTAATTTTAACCTCAAGACGACTTATAATAAGCGGACTCGAACTAATACTTCCGAATTATAATTACATCCACTTTAGAACTGATAATCGTGATTTTTTATTATCCGATTTTCATCTTATGCGATTTGTTTAAAATATTGATCATGATGCGTCTATATCAACTTAATATTCAAACTATTTCTTATTCAAAACTATGTTCTTGTCTATAACATACACTGTATCCTACAGTACTCGAAAAATAAATGATGGATAATTAAACTTGTCATTTACTTTGTCATCTCTACTGACCTTAATTTATTGGTTTAGGGTTTTGTCATTCATCCTTGCTCCGATAATACCATTGCCGGCTAGTGGGATATGATCAGTACTTGTTTTGATGAACATGCACTCTATTTGCCTTCATATGTGTGTGTATATATGTATATATATATATATATGTATGTATATTTTATATTAGATTTTTCTTTTGGCAAGATATATTATTAGATGGTTAACTTGTGCGTGCCCTCCTCCCTCTTCTCCTTTAAAATGGTTTTAGGTTACATGTGCAATGTGCATGTTGAGATTTTTTTTTTAAAGAAAAAAAAATTGCTTTCTTAGTTGAGATTTCCAGTTATATTTATTAATTTGTCTTATGTTTTGGACAAGCCACATCCTAGTTGTGATGTACTTAAAACTTTTTTTAAGTATGATTTTGTTTTCCTAATTAATTTTCCATATCCAGGAAAAAAAAGAAAAAATAAAAAGAAAAGAAAAGTAGTCTCATAGTTTGTTTCCTTTCCTTGGTACCTTATACTTATCCCTAGTTTTCTCTTACCCGTGTTTCATACACACACATTCATCATAGATTCATAGGTACATTTCTTACATTTTTTAACTTACCAAACTGCACAATATGGTCCCTCGCGTTTTGTACGTAGGGAGTTTATCCAGTGTTTCATTTTTTTTTGGAAACACCAGTGTTTTTTTATTTTTACAGCCGTTAGATTTAGTTAAAATCATAATATATTGAAAAGTATTAAAAACAGACAGATTCTGATACATATCTAACAGTTAAAAAATAAGCAATACCGGTGTTCCTGAAAAGGAGAGAACACCGGAGAAAGTCCTTTGTATATATATGACATATATATAAATGTAAACAAAATTGTGAGCGTTGGTGTTCCATGTATATTTCCTTTGCATGTCATAAATTGTTTTGCATTCCTAATGTGTTCCTTTGGATTATATAGAATACATTCAGTCTAAAATGGAAAATATGGAACCACAAAAAAGGGCACAGAAATGCAAAACTTAAATACGAAAAATTTATGATTCTAGACTATGTTAGATAGTAAATCCATACCTGACATCACTATAAGGTGTATAATCTCCGATCCAAGCTCTAAAAGAAAAAAAGATTGCACAAGTATGAAATACTAAAGTGGGTTTCGTGATTTGTAAATTGAAAGAAAAAGAAAAATAAAAAGATTTGGGAGCGCTACAAAGAGAGCCAAAAAGAACAAATAATCGTTCATAGAAAGGAAAATTAGTAAAATGTCGACAAAAACAATTGCCTCGGCAATGAGGATAGCAAACTTGATAGTAAAATAAATTGCCTAGAAAAGAAAAATAGTAATAATGATTGAGAAAAAAAAATAGTAGTATGTAGAGGCTGTCCGACCTGATCCGACCTGACCTAGTGGTCTAAATGAAAGTTTCATGTCAAGTCGGTTTTAAAAAAAAAATTAGAGAATTTATTCTTCAGAGTGCATGAACTTAGACCTTTATTTTTTATTCTTAATAAATATCCTTTTATTAGTGTAATTATTTGACTAAAAAAATTATGAATCAAAAGTAAATAATAAAAATTTTGACACATATACTTTCAAGAGGTATTTATCAAGATTATCCGGTCTTAAATGAAAGAGGATAACTTATTATAATTCTAAAGCCTACAAAATTTAGGATCGCTCTGAAATTTTATAAAGTATTTTAAAAAAAGTATTTAGACCGGATCAGTCTGAATCGGCCGAATAAATTTTTGAACTTGAAATTTTAGCCTGGCCTGATCCATAAGTTAAGGCCTGGTTGGGTTCGGGCCAACAGTGTCAAGTCACGGGTCACTTATTTGACTCAATCCAGACATACAGCTCTAATAGTATGGTAATAAACTTGGTCAAGACTCAAAAATCAAAATGGAGAATTTCCCGTAAAAAAAAACAAAAAAAACAAGAAAAGAAACACCCTAAAAGAAAGCCTTTCTGATAGGAAAAAAAATGCTATCAGTAATAGAGTCATCTAATTTATATTAAAAAATGTTAGTTTTATATTTTGACATACTTTAATCAATAAAATTGGTCTATTAGACAAACTCTAAGAATAATAAAAGTGATTCATTTTATCGATTTGGGTTTTTAATTTTATATTTTTATTGTAAAAATTTTTAAAAAATATTACATTTAATTTTTTTACTATAATAAAAAATTTTCATAAAATATTATATTTTAACTCAAATTAAAAATTTAAATCTCAACTTAAATTGAAAACTCAAACTCACAGTGTGAACGGGCCGAATACACTATTTTGCTTGACGAGAAAGTCAAGAACCGCCTATAAAAACAACGAGTCCCACAACAAAATAACACCAAGAGGAGAAATCAGATTCCAGAAGCCTCTTTGCTTATATATATATATTTTTTCCCTTCAGCCCTATCTATCGAATATCGACCTCCAAAGTCAAATCCTTATAAGTAATATTTTGCTTTCAATCTCCAGATCAGAAGAAAATGGCCGACATAGATTTTCTTCCGAGAGAGTACGGATACGTGGCTCTTGTTCTTGTTTTCTACTGCTTTCTTAATTTCTGGATGGGTTTTCAAGTCGGCAAGGCCCGCAGAAAGTAAGTAAAAAGTTCCTCTCTTTAATTAATTTCTATCCTTTAAATCTTCTATGGGGTTTTTTTTGTATTTTTCGTATTTTTTTTTTTTTGCACAAAGAATCCTTCTTATTAATGGTGAGAGTTTTCAACAGGTATAAGGTGCCATATCCAACTCTCTATGCCTCTGAATCTGAAAACAAAGATGCCAAGCTCTTTAACTGTATTCAGGTATGTTTTTATCTGTTTTCTTTTTTCTCTCACACTTTTTTTTTTTTATCAACTCAAAACGGTATTAGAAATTGAGAAAAAAATTAGGAAAAAATTGTATAATAAACTGAATAGTAGTGGTGGAGTGGTTTTTTAACCTTATTTTATAAAAGGGTATAAATTTATTTTTTTATTTTTTTATTTTTTAAGAATGCAAAAGAAAAGGGTACATTTGTAATTGAAGGTTAAAATTGGTATTGGCAGAGAGGGCACCAGAACTCTCTGGAATATATGCCCATGTTTTTTGTGCTGATGGTATTGGGAGGAATTAGGCATCCTTGCATATGCGCCGGCCTTGGATCTCTCTACATCGTCACCCGCTATTTCTACTTCGAAGGATATTCCACCGGGGACCCACAAAAGCGCCTCTCCATTGGGTTCGTCTCATCCTCTCTCTCTTATTTTTTATTAATATGTTTCCACAAGTAATATCAATACTTTCATAAAGTCTTTAAAAAAAAAAAAAAAATTGTAGGACTTCTCATTTTGTTCCGTTATTGATGGAAAAAGAGTAATCTTCGTAAATACTTATAAAAGTGTGAATTAAAATTTTTATTTTGTATTCTTAATTTATAACTTTTTTACTTAAATAATTACACTAATAAAAATATATTTATAAGAGTAATAAATAAAGACGTGTGTAGTTTACTAAATAAGAATAAATACATCATGTAGTTTACTAAATAAGAATAAGAATAAGTACATCAAGTAAATTTATGCACTTTTAAAAATAAATTTTTTATTTTTTATGAAAAAAAAGAAACCTATTTAGTTCACGTGTTAAGTCAATAATTTTAATTTATTGACAGAAGTTTTATGAGATAAATATTAATAGAAAATTTTGAAATTCAAAAAATTTGAGAGAAAAACACGGTAACATAATCAAATTCATAAATTTAAATATAAGCCTTCAGTTTATAGAACTTGTGTGGGCCCATTATATAGGAATAGAGTATTCTCTCTCGTTTTTTTTTTTTTTTAAATGAAGTCATAATGGTTCATGACGGGTCATTGGGATGGACCTAAACTCACAAGTGATATTATGGGCGTGTTTAGAATTCTTTTTAAAATAATTTTATTTTTTTGTATAAAAAATAATTCATTTTTTTCTTATTTTACATTTAGTCAGAAAATTATTGTTATTTTTATTTTTATTTTTATTAAGTCAAATATCGTTTTGAAAATATTTTTATTTTTATTTTTTTTTAAATGTGAAAAATAAAAATGAGATTAATTTCAAATACGGCTTATAAGAGCCTATATCGGTGTTGCCTTACGTGGGATTGTCTTGCCAAAGCTCTTGAAAACTACCTCTGCCCACATTTCCTAAAGTAATTAGAATTTGTGACTATTAATACTTGATTGATTTTTGTTTATGCTGCAAATAATGCTTGATTAATTGGTTTCTCTTTTTTGGGACAATAGGAAGTACGGATTCTTGGCGTTGATGGGGCTTATGGTATGCACCATTTCCTTTGGGGTTAGTCTTCTGCGTGCTTAACCGACTATAAATTTGCTCAGCGGTGCCATCCCATTATCTGCAACACTAGTTTCCCTTTTGTCCTTTTTCTTTTTTTTTTTCTTCCTTTTTTCTCTTACTAGGTCAAGAATAAGAAAAAGAAAAAGCCCAATATTGTTTTGGGCTTGAAAGAGTTTCAGTTGTGTTTTATCTCGACAAATAAAAATGCATCTTTCAGTCACGGTGGCGGCTTGTAATAGTTAGTGGGCTTGTAGTGTGTAGTCTTCAAATTGCGACAAAATGTCTCGAGAATCTGAGATTGACCGAGTAATTGAAGAAATCTATTTCCTTTGGAATAGGCATAATGCAATGCTTACTTTAAGTATAGTTGGGATGAGTAGTAGTTCTTCTAAAAGCTCTCAAACTATTTTCACAAAAAAGAAAGACTGATTTGAGTTTCACGTGACAGATATTTAAAGATTTGGTATCAAAATAAGGAACAAAAATGTTTTCAAAAGGTATCTTCTTTAAATCTAATACGACATTCAATTTACGAGAGCCACTTTGTTCCATGTTATGTGATCTGGCTGTCCCTTTTCTTCTTTCTTCTCTTCTTCTAGTACAACATTCAACTTGCGCTCTCACAAATTTAATTCACACCCCACTTTGTTCCATGTCATCTGATCTTGCTGTCCCTGATAGTTTTAATATCTAATGCGACATTCAATTTGGGCTCTCGCAAATTTAACGTTTAGTTTATGAATTCAGAATCATAATTTAAAATCATTCTCGTTTTACATGTGTTTTTTGTGAAAGAAAAACACTGTAAAGAATCATAAATTATGATTTAGAATCATTGATGAATACATGACACAAACATTCCCGTCTCACACTACTTTGTTCCATGTCATGTGATCTGGTTGTCCTTGATAATTTTAACCACATTTTGGCATTAAATATTTTTAAAAATGTTTAAGTTAAACTACTAATTCCCGACTTTTGAGCATAATTACGTTTTGGTTTGTCAACTTTTAATTATAGCATATTGATCCATATATTTTCTTTTTTTATTGTTTTGATACATGATAGTAAAATTGACGAATGATTTTGAAATTTAACAAAGATAATTATGTGTCCATCGCTTACTTTAAAATTTTACAGAAAGTATTACGTTATATGTAAAATTTTCTATTTGTTACAATCAAAACCTATTAAAAACCGTATAGCACACATAATGTATTTGTTCCTTTTAGATTACATATGTTCTTTTATTTACACTAGTAGGGGGAATAACTTTATGAGTTGGGATCCCGCGTCAAAATACATAGGTCTCGTTCATTTTATCGATTCGAGTTTTCAGTTTTAGATTTTCACAGTTAAAAAATCTCAGAAAATGTCACATCTAACTTTTTCTGTTATAGTTAAAAACTCTCAGAAAATGTCAAATGTCAAATCTCAGTTCTAATTGAAAACTCGAATCTCCAAGCAAACAAGGCCGTATTGTTCTTAGAAACTAAGTCCATTAATTGGAGGAAGAAGAAAAACAAAATATTTCAAAAGATCACATAAAAAAGAATCAAAGTTATTTAACAGTTCTGAAAAAATATTTAAGTAAGGAGATATTTAAAAAGAATTATTTTATTGAAAGAATGTGAGAAAAAGAAAGTATTTAAAAAAAAGATATTGTTAAAAAAATAAAATGTGAAAAAATATTAGAGAAAAAAAACAAAAAAGGATAATAGGCAAAAGAAAAAGAAAAAGAAATTAAAAAAGAAGAAGAGGTAAAAAGAAAATTAAACGGTATAGGATATTTAAGTAAAAAAAAAAAAGAAGAAAAAGAAGAAGAAGAAGTAATAAGAAATCAAAAGTGAAAAAAATAAAAAAACAAAAACAAAACATGGAGGAGTAAATTAGAGATTAAAATATGGTAAAAAAAGAAGCAACTTCTTTGACTTTTTTATGTATGTTGAGATGATGAGAGAGGATAATTAATATTATAACTTAAAACTAGCGTTTTTTCTTTTGGGAAAATAAAACTAGCATATTTTAGCACCCATTAGAAATTTTATCCCATACCTAAACTTCCACTCTAATTCACCAAATGAAAAGGAAAAATTACAAAGTATAAAACGGATCTGAATCATAGCTTGCAAAATAAAACTTTAAAAGATGAACAAAAATAGGGGAAAAAATATAAGAAATTATGGAACCTAAATTATTTTATTTTTACCCTTTCAATTCCCACTTTTTAAGTGCCGCGTAAGAAAAAATAAAAAATAAAAAAGTAAAGAAAAACCAATGTAAAGAAAAAAGTAAATGAAAAATTTGAATGCAAGAGAAAATTTAAATTTTGCCAATGGAGTGAGGATGGTGAACTTAGAGAGGAGCGGCGATGATAGCGAACATGGAGATGGGCAACAACAATGATGCACGGTCATTGAGATTTGAGAGAAAACATTAAGGTTTAGGAGGGGAAGAAATTAGAGAGAGAATGGGAAAGAGAGAGAATGAGGAAGTAAGGAAGTGAGATGATGATTTGAGAGAAAGATTTAGAGTTTGGAAAGAAGAGAGTGCTCGATAATATAAAAGGGAAAGAAAAAGTTTCAAAATTTGAAAAGAAAATGATGAGCGGGAAAAAATCTGCCATTTTTTAATGAAAATTTTTGACATTTAACCACTATTTTTCAAAAATAGTCGTTAAATGTTGGATAGACAGTCGTTAAATGTTAAAAATTAGACGACATTTTTTAAAAACCGTCGTCTAATGTGCTTGAATTTCTCAATTTTATTTTTTTCGTATACATTAGATGATTGTTTTTAAAAACTGTCGTCTAATATATAGTATGAAATTTTCGAAACACAGAAATCTTCGTTTCATATTTTTTCATCACATTAGACGACATCTTTTCTTAAAATGTTGTTAAATAAGCGCACTATAATGTAAAATTTGTTGTAATGCCTTCTGCTATAATTTATGTCAAAAATTGATAGAAAAGAAAAAGAGAGTAATGCAGTTACGTAGTCTTTTTATTTGGATTTTTGTTAAAAAAAATAAAAATAAAAACTATATAACGTCTACACTTAACCCCTCTTTTTATATGATTAAGTGAGAGAGGATAAAGTGAGAGTTTTTAAAATTTATAAAAAAAATTGAAAACGGTCCTAAAATTCAGAGGCACTAAGAATCAGATTAACCCCTTTTTTTTTTTCCATATCTTTCTTTTTCTTTCCGAATTAACTTCTCTCTCTTTTTCTTCTCTTTTGTTTTCATCACGTATAACGAGCTTCCGGCAAAGTTATAAATAATTTATCAGCAAAAATTCCATACAAATTTTCTCTCATCAATCAATCAATTATTGCGGATAAGTTTTCGAAATGCAAATGTTGATGATTAAATGCATTGATCATGAGGAGTGGATCTTAATAAATGGTGAGGTTGGAGTTTCTCTTAATAGAAAGTGACAGAGATTAACAGAAAAAACTGATGCTAGCATTAATTTTAGGCTGAATTTCTCATATTAACTTTTTTTTAATTCTTTTTTCTTTCTATTTTTAGAGTGGGAAACTTTTACGTGCAATAGGTCTCTTTTGCAAGTGTAATGATGTTTGGTAGAGGGATTCGTTCTCTGATTCGAATCATGATTCGTGGTTCGCTACAGTATTTTCTCTCACAAAAAATTTACGTAAATCGAAAATGGTTCGAATCACATGGTTTGAATCCTCCAACCAAACGTCGATGTGCTTAAGCACGTTGATGCCAGCTAATTAACCTCTCTCTTTTCATCATTTTTTTCTTTTTAATCTTTTTAACACAAAAATGACGTAAGATATATAATGCATAGCTGAGTATACAATTAAATGATGTCCTAGCATTATAAGTATATGTATATATATGTACACACATATATAACATACACGTAAAATTATTATAAAACAAGTAAATAAGAATAAGTACATCATGTAGTTTGCTACACACGTAAAATTATTATAAATTTCGGGCAAGATACGTACATATATCAATTTCTTGCTACCTACTAATTAATAATTACCTTGAATTCTAATATTTGTAGATTTATATTGTCATCTATGTGGAGGTTTTTTTTTTCTTTACTTTGATTGGAAAATATTTATGTACATTCATGTATTAAGCTTAAACTTGCGGATTATCGAAAAGGACAAAAGCCGTAAATGAATGTTATCTCTATCTTGCACATAATTATTGACCTGAATATTCGAAAGAAACGAGGAAGAAAACTAATATGAACGTCAAGAACCAAAGCAACTTAATAGCCATAATATTCCTTTTCCACTAGCTACATATAAATAAACAACAATTGCCTGGCTTTATACGTATATATATATATATATATATTATTCAATATTTGAAATACGAGTACTTTTTACACCAATATTTACTTAAATTAACGAAATATTTTCTTTCCTACAACATGAGATAAAAACATGATCAGTAAGTCATTTTCTCAATCAAATCCGAAAGTCATCAATACGAGACAACATTAGAAATGATAAATAACACAGTATTTATATATTTTTTTAATATCACAATATTTATTTTTTGAAACAAGCAATTAATTATATTGTCCTTTGCCATTATGAAAAGTTTTCCTCTCTATTTTTTTGATAATTATGTCATTTTTTCCTCTTTCCTTTTCCTAAGCTCTTCCTTCTCTTTCCTAGAAAAAATTACCTAAATGGAACTATGGTTTTGCTTTTTCATTGTGTATAATAACGATTCTTGCCACAAGTACTAATTTATTATCTTAAAATACGAATTCCATACAAATTTGTCTCCTCTCAAGCAAAATTGGGGAAAAGTTTTTGAAATGAAACTTTTGAATGAATGCATTGACCAGGTGGGTTTTGTAAAGGTCATTTTTTCAAAAAGGGAAAGTAAATTATGATGTTTGTTTACTATATTCATTCTTAATTATGAATCATGATTCATGATTTTCTACAGTGATTTTCTTTCACAAAAAATACACATAAAATGAGAATGGTTCTGAAACATGCTTCTGAATACATGAACCAAACGTCCAAGATTCACTGCACGGAAAACTCAATACAAACACCCACACAATCTTTTACTGAGGGGAATACGACACCGGCAAATAACTAATTTAATTTGTAAGCTCGAATTAAATAGTACTCAAGTGAAATTGTGTGTATCAAGATCTCAATACATACATACACCAAAAGAGGTACATCAAATCGAATACACACCCAACTATTTGGTAGATATTCTATATATTATTAATAAAAATATCTAATCAACTGATATTATTGAGAATCTCATAGCATTATGTCTAAAAATACCTACCAAGAAACAATCATAAACTTTTTCTCCTATTCGGCATGTGTACTTTTTCGAAGCAAAAAAAAAAAAAAAAACAAAATTAGTTGCAACATTTTTTTTTTTTGGAACAAGTTGTAACTTAGAGCCCGTTTGGTTGAAGGATTCGTTTTTTGATTTGAATCATGATTCATGGTTCGTTACAGTATTTTCTCTCATAAAAAATACACGTAAATAAAAAATGATTCTAATCTCATAGTTCTAATCCACGAACCAAACGGGCTCTTAATAAAAGCATAAACAGTTTGGCCACCTCGATCTTGACCAATGTTAGCTAGTTAAGGATTCAACTTGATTGTCTCGTGATACCCAATGATCTCTTCATGTCGAGAGATTTCCATATGATGCTCACGGTGTGTACATGGTTAGTACTACAAGGACAACCAGTCAACCATGTGCACAAGATATTCATAGAATATATATATATATATATGCAGTAATAGATTCAGGAGTTATCGGTAGAAAGGGCTAAATTTTTTTTTAATTAAGATTATATTAACATGTATATATATGTAACAATTTGTTTATTAAATTAATTCATGCCCAATAAAATGTAGAGAACTATTAATTTAAAAGGATTAAATCTAATTTATACACATATTTATTATATTAAAATTAAAACTACTATAGGCTCCCCTCTCTCCGTCATTTTATATATATATATATATATATAACATATCGATGAAGAGATATCCAGAGAATTCACATATTTTCTGTTGGTGATAAAAACGGTATTCGTATGCTTCTACAAGGAGTGGTTGTTTTTATTTTGGTGCTTCCATGGCTATCAAATATGTATCTGATGATGAATGAAATGTATTTTTTAGTGGACTAATTTTTTAAATATGATTAGAATATGGAAACTTTTTTGAGAGGAAATATGAACATAGTTAATAAAACTATATACTGTCGAAATTTTTATTGTTTATTGTATTCTTATTCAATTCAAATTGAAATTTGAATGTCTCAAATATTAAGTATTTTGCTAAAAAAAATCGTGTATTATATATCCGTACGTGTACTGTTTTTATTTTTCGTATAATACAATTCTTCTTAAATTCTAATGAAATGATTCCATAAAATTTTCTTTAAATTTAAAATATAAACCTTGGCCCATTCAAAAGCATCACCGGAACTCCATTCTTCTTAGAAATCTCTTTTGAAAAGATTATTTAAAAACTCACCCATAATATTGATACAAGTTTTTAATTAATATCTATCTATCTATAAGTATTGTTATTTTAGCCGCAAGATATTAATCTAACGTTTGTAATAAATTTGATCGTTCACTAAAAAATTTAATAATAATTAATGAGATTAGATTTTTATCACTCAACATCATTAAATTTTTTTATTTAATGGTAACCACAAAAAAAAAAAACCATTAAAAACTCATCTATACATCATCATACTAAGCACATGAAACTTCTCAAAACCAATGGCCGCTTTTTAAACAAGTACTAATTAAATTCGCTTGAAGCAACTAAAGATCACTTATTTAGCACTTTCACATGTAGAGTAACACATGACAAATTAAATACATTACACGTTTTTAAGCATAATTAACTAATTGTACATGATATGCACACATATAGGGGACTTTGAACCGACTTAATAAATTTTACTTAATTACGCAATAACATACGCCCCACACTTGCCCGGCAGGTTTATGACATTCTCCTCTAATAAATGATGCTGGATGACGCATTTGGCATCTCGTAGTACAATTTATATCATGTTTACCGGTATTTTATTACCAAGAGAAACTACTTTCTTGCAATCTGGTAAACAAAAGGCCAAAGCAAAAATAGAATTACATGATTAGTATATAGACTATATATATATATATATATATATATATTTCTTAGTAGACATTACGCCGTAAATTTGTTAATATCTTAATTTATCTATTAAATTTCTCATATATAGTAAATGATCGGTTAAATGAGTTATTAATTTTCAATTGGTAAAATACACTTTCCTTACCATGTTTATTTTCACTTTTGCAACGCTAGAAAACCTGTTAAGTTTCTTTAAAAAAAAAAAAAAGTTGTTGTAGATGTGAGCAAAAATTAATATAGCCCCCTTAATCATGAAATAAAATAGATATCTTTCAGAAATGCAGTTTTATCTCTATCTAGAAAAATTGAAGTTTTTCATAAAACTAACCCGATTGCTGGAATATGAGGAAGAAAATTAATATGAACCTCAAGAACAAGAAATAGAGTGATTTGTCGCCCATATTCATGTTAAAGCGGTACATAAATAGCTATACCGAATCAACTTTTCAATAGGTTTTTATAGTGTACTTTTTTTTTTTTTTTGGGCTCAAAAAGGTTTATATAGTGTATTTCTTCCGGAGAAAAAAATATTTAGGGGTTGTTCTTTTAGAGTGTGACTTAAGTGTAATTTTTGAGTTATAATTTGAGTTAAATTTGTAACTTGAATAAAGTTGAGTAAAGTTGAATAAAGTTGAAACTTAAAAGAACGTGAACTTAAATAAAATTGTAACTTGAATTTAAATTTTTTTTTTAATTTTATTGCAAAAGAACAACCCTTAGTTTTTTATGATTTTTACAAGTACCCCTTAATTATATTTATCGATAGTATATTCCAAAAGGATACCTTTTGGCACCCGTGAACGTCACATGGCAAACTGTATACGTGTAAGTTTCAATAAACTATAGCTTTTTTCCCCCCCTTATTTTTTAGTTTTCGTAACATTAAATAGGGTGACTCTAGCACTAACTTGTTGCCTCTTGAGGTTTAATTATTTGGTAGTTTTCAATCTAATAATGAGTAAGATAACGTGATAAAATAACTAAGTTTGCTTAAAAGCAAAGTTATTTCTCTTACGGGATTTCTCTCTTTTTTTTAGACCTTAGGAACAATGTAAAAGTTCAATATTTTACATCTATGTACACTTAGAGATAAATGCACTTTTCATGTAAAATAATTAAAAGCAAGACATATACAAAAACTATCGTTGCAAGTTAGTTTTATTATATAGAACGTCATACTGAACTTAAAACAGTTTGCAAGTTACGAGATCTGAATAGATTACTTAAATCAATTGGTTATGCTCAGAGAATGAATTTTGTTTTGGTCATTTAAGTTAAAATTTCATGCCTAGGCGGTTGAAGTTGATCATATATGAATACCATAAATCAGCTGAGTTGAAAAGAAACATCCAATCTAACTTGCTCAGATTAGATTATGTTGGCTTTTAGACAAAACAAAAAGATTAAAAATTAGTTAAGAAGATTCAAATAACCAACTCTTTGATTAGGTTATGCATAGCAAAGAACGACTGTATATCGACTGATTTTCGTACCTTCGGCACATCCATGCTTTCCTTCACCATAAATGTTCACAAAACCGAGAATTTTGGGAAACCCCAAGTTATAGAAGCGAAAGTTTTACAGCAAAAATGTTTTTATATTGCAGAACAAATTACAGTCAAAGAAAGCCTAAAATCATTTTTATTGGAAGTACTTCCAATGTTTCCAGAAGCTCTGGCCAAACGAAGAGAATAAATAAAAGAAAATTTGAAGCTTTATTGAAATAGTACAAATTCGACCATTTCTCACTTCTTCAACAGTGATGCACTGCATTGTGCCATTATCTTTGATGCCCTGGTGATGGAATCAGTCATGTAAAAGTTCTCAACAGCTGTTCTGAAGGAATCCTGACTCAATTTCTGAGCGACTTTAGGCTTCAAGGAAGGCGAAAAAGTAGCTGGCTCTCTTTCGTTGACGTGCGAGAGGTTTGGTGCCACGGTTCTGATCCGGGATCGAATTGCCCCGAGTGAATCATAGGGCAGTGGAATCCCTGATACCTCCGATAGAGCCCTAATAATCTTCCAATCATCCCTGGCATCACCAACTGTTGGAACAGCAGGCAGTGTCTGTTGAGTGCAACCTTCGGTATTTTCGTATGTACCTTCCTTCTCACTGAATGCTGATGCAGGAAGAATTACATTGGCGCGGTACACACTCCGATCCCCGTGGTGCCCCTGATAAACCACAAAGGCGTCAGCTGGAACCTTCTCCAAGTTCACATCATCTGCACCCATCAGATACACAAACTTTGCGGACTCGATGCTGTTTTCAGACTCCGGCACAAGTCCAAGGTCAAGTGCCGCAGCCTGAGCAGCGCTGAGAAGCAATACATTGTAACCATTCCAATCAGGTCTGATAGCTTTCGAATATTCAGCAATGGTCTCAACAGCAGAAAAAATTGCATCCTTGTCTTTCCTATCAAAGAGCCCGGCCCCAAGAATAATAACAGGGTTTTTGGCATTCAAGAGAGCCGAGGAAAAGGGATGGCGACGCTCAGCCAGTTCTGCTAGCGTTTGAGGACCTGTGCCAAGATGTTGGTGATCATAGTTGAAATCTGTTTCAGGACCAAGATACCCAACTTTAGCATTGGTAGCTCTAACTGTTTTCCGGATTCTAGCATTTATCATAGCAGCTTCAATCCTTGGCTGTCAATTAGAAATTAAAGAATGGAGATTAGTATTTAATCATGCTTAAAACACAAGTTGTTAACATGCAGCCATCTTATAGCTAAATATAAGCGTGTAAAAGAATATAAGCGTGTAAAAGACACAGGATCATTTTGTACCAAGTAGTGCGCTAAAGTTAAAAAATGAAACAAAGGACGTCGGGACAATACCTGGGTACCAATCAAGAGAAAAACATCTGCCTTCTCAAGATCAGCAATGCTAGTGTTCATCAGATACATAGATCGGAGATCAGCATCATGATGGGCACCATTTCTTTCACACCAAACATTGTTAGACCCCAATTTGTTCAAGAAATCTTTTAGTGCCATCATGGACTCTGCATCAGACAGCTGACCAGCAACCCCCACAATTTCCTCTGGTTTAACTTGATTAACAACTTCAGCAACTACAGCAAGGGCATCACGCCAACTCACAGGCTTAAAGCGCCCATCAGCACCACGAATCATAGGGTCGTTTAGCCTTTGCCTCTTCAAACCATCATAACAGAAACGAGTCTTGTCTGATATCCATTCTTCATTTATGTCCTGCAATGTGAGGGAAATGGCATTACGGATTTGATACAGAACAACACTGAGAAAACAACTTTAAGGTCTACAGCCGTGAAGAATAGCCTTAAAAAATCCAATCACGAGTACTTCCTAGTGCCTTACAAAAGGCAAGCAGAGGAATTCTCAAGGTGATGGGAACCCATCAGAATTGGGTTCCGGGTGCTGTTGTATTGTGGGGCCCAACTTAAAACCTACGGGGCAGATCTTGCAGTAAACACTTTCAGCATCTATATAAAGCTTTGTCCTAAGTGCACAAGAACAGAAATTTCTTCTTACATGGAAAGCTCAGCAGAAGAAACAAATGGTGAAATATGTTTGCAATAAGTTATTGAGGTCAACAATTAAGAGAGAAAAGAACCAAATCAAGTACATTATATGCTTTTATAATGCACAGGTTTCCAACTTGCAACAAAAAAGTACTTTACAGATTCTATCAACCTACTAGATACAGTGAATACTCAGTTCAATGAACGTAGGTCTCTCACATATGGTTCTATTTTTCAACCACTAGTTTTTCACTTTTTCTTTATGAATATTTTAACCACTAGTTGAATGCCAATAAGCGTGAGCAATAACAGAACACAATCAAGCAACCCTTTTAAATATCATGCATAATCCAGTCATCATAATCATGGATGTCAATCCAGATAACAGGTTCGCACTTCAATTTGATCAACCAATTACCATAACATAAAGGATTTGGAAAGCTAAAACCTTTATCAATTCAAGAAAACACAGCTCAAAGGGCAATCAAAATCTGGCATCTAGTACATATTACAAGATATACCTCATTCAACCTTGGAAGGATGCGCATGACCTCTGGACCTCTACTGTCGATGCGAATGTTGGATCCTACGGCATCAGTAACATCGATGCTCTCAGTTCCTTTCAACTCCCAATTTCGGGCTTTAAATGCAAAAGGTTTTGAGGTCAGGGCTCCCACAGGACATATGTCTATCACATTTCCAGAAAGTTCACTTGTCATGAGTTTTCCAACATATGTTCCAATTTCTTCTCCACTTCCACGACCTAACATACCAAGGTCTTGAACCCCAGCAACCTCTGTTGCGAATCTAACACATCTGTTTGACCAGACACGTAGTTCACATTAGAAACTTCCTAGCTAGCTACAACTAATTAACTAATGACATAAATTGATTGATTCAATATCTGCATTCTGCACACTACAAACACGCGCACACAAGTATACATACATACGCTAGCTACAACTAATTAATTAATGACATAAATTGATTGATTCAATATCTGCATTTTGCACACTACAAACACGCACACACAAGTGTATATATATATATATATATCCAAACACTTGTAACAAACAGTTTTTTCAAAGAAACACCAAACATAAATGCTGTAAACAAAGCAGTGGAAGATCTTGGAATTTCCCTTGCGGATTTAGAAGAACAGCACGTTCGTTACCCTTTTGGTTTTTTGTTATTTAAAATTGCAAACAAGTATTAAGTAAACTTGTGATTGGCAACATAATCTAAAGCTGCACTGTCAAAATAAGGCTGCATTCCGTGATTCAAAAAATAACTGCTCCAATAAAGATTTTAAGCAGAAAACTAGAAACAAAAAAAATTAAAGTCCACACATCTCCAGAATAATCAGAGAAAAGTTTTCAATGTCATAGTGAGCTCGGAAGGATGTTTCAATTAAGGGAAAATAAGATTTTACCAAATTTTATTACATTACACAAGATACAACAGTGACAACAATTGTGAATGATATCCTTTTTGTTTGTACTAGAACGCAATTGAAGAAAAATAGAAGCCACTACTCAAAAGAAACTCATGGAAAACCACAACGTAAGGAGCAGGTTGCTATAAAAACATACGCTACTTAGAACTAACTGGAATGAAAAAGTTGACTTGTAAGAAAGAATTATCTTATAATAAACAGAAACTTTCACTGAATTAGTACATGAACCAACATGTGAAATGCTAATACGATAATTTGGTCGGTCAAACCAGTATATCAGTATTCTAGAAAGATTTTTTTCTCTACAAACAAAACAAAGTATGAATCCACGATGGGTATGTGAAAAAACATAGAAATGATCAATTAGAGCTTCTCACCTTGTACATTGAATGCACCTAGTCATTACAGTCTTCACCAGAGGACCAAGATTCTTATCCACCACAGATCTCTTCATCTCTGTGAAGCGGCCGCGATCAGACCCGAATGCCATGGACTGATCCTGGAGATCACATTCTCCACCCTGATCACAAATTGGACAATCTAATGGGTGATTCATCAGTAGGAACTCCATCACTCCTTCTCGGGCCTTCTTTGCTACTGGAGTATCAGTCTTTATTTTCATCCCTAAAATAAATTTTAAAAACAACAATAAATTACCAAAGCAAACAAAATAAAACACATTGTTTTTCAAAAGAACATTAAAATAGTGGGTGGGGGTGGAGGATAATTAGTTTTGGCTAAACGAACTATAAAAGGAGAAACTTCTAATGTCAAATAAAACCCTCAAACAATTCACAAGCTAGGAATTGAAGGTAATAATAACTGAATGGTATATCAAAAACAGTAGCAGTAGTACATTTGAAGATTACTAAGAGCTAAAGCATTCCATTGCATTTCATAGATAATAATTGAGCAAACAAACAAACCATTAGCCTGAACTAGAATCGATGAAAATGTCGGTGAATATCAGCAAAACCCCAATGCTAAAACATGATTCAACAAACTAGCAAAAACTAAATGTTTAGCACTCAAAGAAGCAGAAAAGAAAATCAGGTTTCATGAATTATCTCAAGATTATTGGACCTTAACCGAAAGAGAAATGATAATAAGCAAATCCGATCACTAGCTCAAGAGGTCAAACATCACAAACAACAAACAAAGAGGCGAAACCCTAACCAGGAAGCGCGGGCATGGCGCAGGAGGCGACGGGCTTGGGGGACTTCTCGACCTCAACGAGGCACATGCGGCAGTTGCCGGCGATGGAGAGGCGGCTGTGGTAGCAGAAGCGGGGGATATCGACGCCGGCAACCTCACAGGCCTGGAGGACCGTGAAGCCCTTCGGGATCTTCACCGGATAGCCATCGACGAACACCTCGATGGCGTCCTCCGGTGCGGGGCTGGGGAAGTGTACCCTGGCCCCGCCGACCGGCTTCCGAGGCGGGAGATCAGGCTCCGGATTTGCCGCCGCCGCCGCCGCAGCTGATTGGTCGGCGTTCTTGAGCTCCGGCGTGGAGGTGACGGCCCTGAGGAAGGAGGTCCTAGGGCTGAGGAATTTCGCCGTCGAGGTTGTGGGTCGGAGGACCCTGGAAGCGAGCAATCCCAACCCCATTAGTGTAGTTCCAGAGCTTGGTGAAGCTCTCCGAGCTGCAAGTGATACTGATCGATCGTGTAAGAGGAGATCTCTGAACTCTCGGCGACTGAGGGAGGAGATGTTTGGTTTTGTCTATGCGTACGACACTGCTGCTGCTCCTGCACGAATGGAAATTGGGATTGGAAATAGATGATGGGCCTTGACTTGTTGGGCTGGGCTTTGATCGGGCTTCACCTTTTGAGTTTGATTAAAAAAAAAAAGGATTTTTACGCATCTAGCAAAAATAAAAAAAAATGGAATTAAAATACAGATTCTTTTTTTGAAATATTCAAAAAATAGTAAAATATTTAGGTTTTGATATTTAGAAATAGCATATTTTTTTTACAAAATATTTCACTCTTAAATTTAATTAGATTTCTAATTGAATATTTATTTAAAAATTTATTTGTCATCGCCACTAAATTTATTCAGACCTCATTTTTATATGCAATTATCTTTTTGCTTAATTATCCATCCATACCATAAACATATTTGTTTCATAAGTTTAAATTATTGTTCAAACTTTTTTAAAATATTTTCTCTTATAAAATTTAAATTTCTGTTCAAAATTTTTTAAGTCTAAAACCATTTCAAATGTCAATATCATACAAATATTATAGTTGACAAAAAAAAAAGTGAGAATGATATATAAGCTATATAACAATTTTTCTTAATTTATATTTTGTTCTCCCCAGTATTTCTATTTTTATTTCTTAAAATACTCTATTATTGTTTTGGGATTCCACACAATGTTAGATTTATATTTTCCAAAATAATTGTTTTTGGAAAATGCATAAAATCAAATGTAGTTTTTTTTTTTGGCAAATGAATTACAGTTGTATGTGCATAAACGTTTGATATTCTTTTTCACTATGGATTTTTTTTTTAAATGGGCACCATGGATTTTCAAGCAACAGTGTTTTAATTTAAAAAAAAAAAAACAATTCGTGAGTCAATCTATCCGAACTCCAACTCCACAGCTAAAATCCTTAAAAAAAAAAAGAAAAAGAAAAAGAAAAAGAAAACTCCATAGCCAAAATACCAAAAGAGCTTTGAGTTTGTCCGTCGTTTGCTGTACCTTGCATGCTACATTGAACACGACCATGGTCTAGGGCTCTATCTCAGCAGAGAACTGTATCACGCACAAGAACCATGGCCTTCAATTTCCTTTACTTTGCTCTGTTGTTCACTTTCCACCTCCAATTCTCTCTCGCTGGTAAGTTCTCGCTCGAATTTCATTTCTGTTTTGTTCTCACTGCGATTACTGTAATCTCTTTCTTTTTGCTGCTTCTTGATTTTGGTTTCTGATCAACCAATCGTCTCGACTGTTATGGATATTTATTTTGTCTGTTTGTTTGTTGCGAAAATGTGATGGAAAAAGAAGAAATGCGGGTGAAAATAGGGAGATTTTCACCCGCACGGTTTGAATAGATTCGACATAAGATCCATTCAGTTATGAGAGTTAATGCTTTTTGTTAGCAAGCTATTAGGCCTGTTTGGTAGGAGAGAAAAGAAAGGGGCTTTCTTTTATTGTGTTTGTAGAGGTCAAAATTAGGGTCTTATTGATGATTTTGAACGCTTCGTTACTCAGATCTTATTTTCTATGTTCATTCATTGTTTGAGTGTTGCTTTACTAATAGAATCTGTTTCTTATAGTTATAACTAAAAATGTTGTAATTTTTGTTCTATAAACATTTTAGGACAAACGAATTTGATGGAATCGGTTCCTGATCTTCAGAATTCTATGTACAAGGTTGTCGATGGATATCCTTGTGTACGGCTAGTCAATTCTTCTGGGGAGATTGGATGTTCAAGTAAGGATTTTAATGATAATTCATCGTGTCATTGTAGCTTATCGCTATGATATTTATATTCTAGAGTAAATCTACTTTTGTAATGAACCTTTGTGTGTGTTTTGTCATTTGCATTTTCTTAGATCCTGGAAGAGAGAAGGTTGTTGCTCCAATTATAAGATTCAAAGATGCTAACACATTGTCTCGTTCGTCCACAATTTTGCTGTCATTTGATGAAGTTGAAAGTTTTTTTGCCAGGTACATGAGCGACAACTAATATATTCTGCTTAAACTTAGTCCCTCCAATGAATGAGTTGCCATCATCTTGTGGTTGTTTCTAATTGTAGTTTTCCCTTTTTTGGCTTTTTGACATTGAATAAAAGATATATGGGTATTCTAATTGTCAATGAGGGAAACTTCCTTGAAGGAAATGGCGAAAAGTGTAAACATCCATCCACGTTGCTTCAACATCTATTTTTTTACATGTGCATTACCTACAAATTCAACATTTGTTGTCTACATTGATCAGTAACCAGTTGGATTGGTCAGATGGAATTATGTAACATATCAACTTGCACATATCTTTGGAAGAGAGTTGTTGGGAGAATCGCTAATCTCTTAAGAAGAAAAAATGGACTTCTAGTTGATTGGAGTATAAATTTTGTTCTTTTTGTCACTCTTTCTATCAGTAGATTGGGTTATGAAATGATATAGTAGCTTGGCTTGGGAATAAATAGGTTGGCCTAAGCCTTACAGCCTGTTTGGTTTGGAGGGGAAGAAAGGAGGGGAGAGATGGGGAGTTGAAGTCTAACTCTACGCCCATAAAATCCAATAAAGAGATCTGTTAATGAAAAGCTTTGTTTTGGGTTTCTTATTTTTCGAAGTGATGCTCTTAACTTTACATATCTGGTCTTATTTCAGGATTGCGGATGATTCTACTTTTGCTAGAAATGTTGGTGGGGTTTTAGTTGAATCAGGGGCTGAATTTCAAGATAAGTTACGAGGTAAGTTAATCTAAAGTTATCCACCCATCATGTTTTTGCTTCATAAGTGTAAACGTAAGTTGAGTGAATGACTTCTACTCGCTGATAGTGGCACTTCTCATTTGTAGGATTCTCTCCAGCTCATAAGTTCCCTCAAGCTGAATTTGCACCTTACAAAAGCACTAACTATGAGTGGAACCCAATTGTATGTTATTTTGCCTTACCATCAGCCAGCTCTTGTTGCAGATATCTTAGTTTGTTAGTAATGTGTCAAGAACGTCAGTGCTGTAGTTTGTGCTATAGCAATTGTTTTGGTGGTCATATTTAATAATTAAGATGTATGTTAGTTGCTTGGTGATTTAGATAAATGGACGAGCATTTATTCTAACTTTAGTCATCACTCATATAATTTATAGTGTTAGTCGACAAGCGAAATGACAATATTAGTTTTTATTTTTATTCTTTCATTTCTTAACTTCGAATATACTGTTTGAAGAGAAATATGAATTTACTTAAATTGTACCAGTCACATTAGGTTTCAAATCATTATATCTTTACTTGTTGGTTTGAAAAGGTTGACTTATCATAATGTAGTACTTACTGCTATATTCCATTTTTCGCATCTTGTTTGGCAAATTTGACAACCTTCACACTTTCAGGGATCTGGTATTATGTGGCGGAGGTACAATTTTCCTGTGTTCTTGCTCTCTAAGAACAGTGCTGTGACCATCCAGGAGGTAATAAGCTTTTTGAAACTTCTTGAATTTTTGTCGCCCTTGCAAGATGTTACACATTTTACTGGAAAAGTAAGACGCTTCTCAAAGAAGTCCATGTAATCAATCAAGTTAATGCAGATGTGCCAAATTGGTAATAAACTAATAGTTGATTGAAAATAATACATGAACGTGCTATTTGAATATTTTTATGTAGACTTAATTCACTCTTAATATGAATTATAACATTATGGACAACTTTATTATTGTGAATTTGTTAATACATATATGTTAAATTTCGACCCATAATGGGATGAACACTTGTTTTATTGACTATCTTGAGGCCTTGGACTCCTTCTCTCATAAATGAATTGATTAGCCTGTTGGATCAAATAACCTCTTCACACAATTGAAGTAAGCCCAATTAAAATGTGAGCCCAAAGGTAGCATATATTGTTGTGTGTGACCTAAGTGTTTATCCTTGATGGTGCTTAGTGTGGTGGTTGAGGGAGAGAAAGGAACTCTAAGCTCCTCTACATTGACGGCGGTGTTTTAACGGCTTATCGACACTACCATCCGATTACCCCTATTGTACCTGTTTCAATACTCATATAGATTGACATTTAAATTTCAACAATTGGTATTAGAGCTCTCCTCTTTCTTAGTCTCACCACATACAAGTGCCATACATATCATCAACCCATACTCCATAGACCTACACACACCACATTGCATAATATGCCTCATCCTATTCCTTACCGCCTCATATTTTGGTAGGCCTATTGGGCTTTATAAATTGTGGTAGTGAGGTTATTTGGCTCAATGGGCTAACCAAAGTACTTACGAGAGAGGGAGTTCATAGACCTCAAGCGCAGAATCAAAATTTACTAACCATCCCATTATGGTTAAATATTAAAGTTGTTGTCATGCTTTTATGAATCTTTAGCACCTAGTTATGTGTAATATTTGTATCCTTGGTACAGTATTATTACATAATTAGTTTGGCTGTATTTGTTGTAATATGACGCCTAAGATCCTTTGGTCTAGTGGCACTGGGGAATTTGGGTGGGATGGGATTTAGGAGGTAGGTTGCGGGTTTGATCCTGTGTTGTATCAAAAAAATTGTTGTAATATGACATTCTTGAATTTTTATTTCTTAAAATTAGTTGGAAGTATTTATATTTTATTGCATGATCGGGCAGTCCAAGTGGGAGAACAATTGAATGTTTTGTGTGTGGACTTGCGTAATCATTGGCAACTACTTAAATGTCATAATGAAAGCATGATAACATGATGAATTAAGGAAACACTGAGAACATGATTATGGTTTTACGTGCATAGTTATGTCACAATCCTAGTATAATATAATTTTAACATGTATATTTTATTATTTTCATTATGCATTTTGATTATGCATTTGAGGTCTATGAACTCCCTCTCCCGTAAGTACTTTGATAAGCTCATTGGGCCAAAGAATCTCACTAGCACAATTTACAAAGCCCAATAGGCCCACCAAAATATGAGCCCATAAGGAATAGAGTGAAGCATATTATAATGTGGTGTGTGGGGGGCATGGGATACGTGTTGATGTGTGTGGCACTTGCTGGGGCTAAGAAAGAGGAGAGCTCTTATACTAATTATTGAAATTTAAATGATATGAGTATCGAAGCATGTACGATAAGGGTTACCTGGCAGTAGTGCCAGTAAGCTGTCAAAATACAGTCGTCAACGTAGAGGAGTTGAGAGTACTATGAACTCTCCTTCTCTCTCCTCATTTACCACCACACTAAGCACCACCTAAAACTAAAGACTTAGGCCAAACACAACAATATATGCTACCCTTAAGCTCACATTTTAATTGGGCCTATTGGGCTTACTTAAATTGTGTGAAGAGGTTATTTGAACCAATGGGCTAATCAAATCATTTATGAAAGAGGGAGTCCATGGGCCTCAAGCTAGTCAATAAAATGAGCGTTCATCCCATTACAGTCCGATATTAACATACATGCATAACAAATTCACAATAACAAAATTGTCCATAACATGTTATAATTTATATTGTAGAAGTCCACATAAAAATATTCCAACATGTACTCGTTTTAAATTAATTATTAAGACAATTGTATCGTTCGATAAAAGTTCTTTATTTTTTCTTAGTTCTTCTAGAAGTGAGAGCTTGTAGTTGGCTGAGATGTATGTGATGTGGAGTACTATTTTAGATGGATTCTTGATCCACATATTTCATAATGTTGGAGAAAGTTAGCATCAATTGACTGGTGTTGATTATTTCTGTCAAACTAGTTAGTGCCCGTTTGGGAAGTATATTTGAACCATGATTTGGATTTTGATTCAAATTTTTTTGTGAGAGAACTATTGGCAGGAATTGTTTTGATTCAAATTCTTTGTGAGAGGAAAAATACTGTAGCAGAATCATGGTTTGGGCTTGAATACATGTACCAAACAACCCCTTAAGTATTTTAGGGCTCGTTTGTTTCATGCATTTAAACCCATGATTTTGATTCTGGTACAGTGTTTTCCTCTTACAAAAAATTTGAATTTCAAATGTCAAAATCAAGAATCACTGATTTAAACACATGAACCAAATGGCCCTTCTGTTTTCCTCTTACAAAAAATTTGAATTTCAAATGTCAAAATCAAGAATCGCTGGTTTAAACACATGAACCAAATGGCCCTTAGTAATTATCTGATTGCAGGGTGCCGTTCTTGTATTTGGTAAATTTTTTAATAGTGTTCCTGGGTCCGTGGGGAACATCCGCATGCCATAAGTTGGAACGTATTGTAGATAAGATCAGAATGATTTATGCAGATAAATAGATATGTACATGTGGCATGCATTAGTATAATAAACCAGAGAATGAAAAATTAAGCATACAATACTAATGTTTACCTTGGAAGGGTAATAATGATGTTTAAATCATGAACCACACAATTAATTTATGGAAACAATGTCATTAAATCGTATGGGAAAAATGTAATTCTTACAATCAATGGTTGCCTAGATCAGTAATTGGGGATGGTTACTCCATGTTACTAAACAGATTTGTATCAAGAAACTTCTGTCTCTTAATTTATTTCTCTCTAACCCTTGATTGTTCTTAGACTATCTTCACCCCTTAGATTTCTTTACTCCCTCTTGTTTTTTTATCTGATTACTCCCTCTTGTTTTTCTCTTCTATTTCTTAGGCTATCTAAGTTATTCTCATGTTTTTTTCCTTGACTACTTGTTTGCTTGTGTGATATGCTAGGTCTGAATGATTGTTAAATCTAAGAATGCCTCTCCAACTAAGAAAATGATTGTGAAATCTAAGAATGCCTCCCAAAGGCTTGTATCTTCTCAAAAATTGCATGTGAAATCTTAGAAGCTTGTGAAATCCCAAAAGCTTGATTTCTTAGCATGTCTTCCCTTCTATTTATCGCTTCCCAAGCACCATAGGTGTTATAATTATTTTACCTCTCACTGCTCAGATGGTTGTTATGTTTTACTCTCCCTCTCACTATTCGAAAGGTTGTTATATTTTACTCTCCTCTCTCACTATTTGGTATAGCTAAAGATCATGAGTTACATAATACTACTTCTCTCCTCATATTGTTTTACCATGCTAAGTCCTTGATGGCTTTTGTCTTACCACTCTTCTCTTAGTGAATTAGAAGAGCCTTTTACTACCCTCATCCTATAATACTATAACTTTCCCATGAGTTAAATAACTTTATTTTCACCATTCATTGTATTATAATGCAACCCTAGTGCTTGCAAAGCTTGTTAGACACAATTGTATAATGTAGCACAATATTTCATATTGCACCATTGTACAATGAAGTCGCACAAGTCTTTTACGTAGCTAGTTTGGTAATATCAAGTATTTGATATTACTGATTTAGTGCGCACCCGTATGAGTCCTAAAGGCAATGTTACGTCCAATCCTACCATACCACACCCCATAACATTGTTCCCTGATTTTTATGGTTAAAAGATCTATTTGTGGTTTTTTCTTGTCTTGTTTGTGTAATGTATTTCTGTTTTGAGCCGTTTGGAGTTTTTTCCTGTTTTTGTCTTGTGTTCCCTCTTCAGATGGATTCCTCATCCATCTTGAAACTTCAATTGTAATTTATCTTATTCATTGAAGTTTCTTTCTTATAATACACACACACACACACACACACGTATAAAAGATGTCTTTGAGGTCGAAGTTTTGAAAAATAACCCATTTATTACTTCTAACCCTCTGAATGTTAAAAATTATAATGTAGTCGTACTAATTTTCCTACGTTAGGGTCCATTTATATTGGACTATAGTTCCAAGCCAATTACTACATACTTGTGTTGTCACCTTATGCAGGTTGCTCTAGAAAATGAGAAGAAAAAGAGATCATATACCACTGTTGTGGCCGAGTTTGATCTGGTCATGCAGGTATCTGACACTGCTCTTTCGTATAATTTTTATGTGCAATATTTTAATGATTCATCTACTTATATATTTTTTTTAAGTAACCTGTGATACATTTGAATTGGACTAGACAATGAAAGCTGGGACTCATGATTCCAAATCTTGTTTGACAGAAGAAACATGTCTTCCATTAGGTGGATATAGGTAAGTTTTTGTGGGTTTTTTAGTTCTCGTAATGCTGTTTAACAACGCTATAGCTGGTTCACTATTTGTTTAAGTTGGTTCTTTCTTTTGAGCCCAGGATGTCTTGCCATGTGTTCTCTTGATTTTTTGTTTTGGTCATGGAAGGACCGTTGTTCTTATTGGCTTGTTTATTTCTGAATTAAGTGTAATGTCTCTATGAAAAAAAAAAAAAAAAAAAGGAACAATAGATTCTTTTAAAAAAAGATGCTCCATAAAGTGAAAACCTTGGAGATTGTTATTTGTACCTTGGTTAGTTAATATTTATTGAGAAGTTTGATATATAGGAATTTATTGGCTAATAGATTTGACATTGAATTTGTTTGTGGATGTCTTCTTCAAAGGAGTTTAGGGATCTTCCTTTATCTGTGAGTTGACTGGATTGGAAGTCTTTATGGTGTGTATTGATTTAGGCATTTAGCACGAGTTCTTTCTCCCTTTTTATTTGCTGAGGACAACTTGTTCTTTCTTCTATTATGTTATTACTTTTGGCAGAAATTGTATAACGTACATTTATATAATTGTATAACTTCTATTATGTTTGTACATCTTATATTTGTCTTAGCCTCGCTAATTTACTTTAAAACTTATAATTTAAATCCTAATTTTGAAGGGCAGTGTTTGGTCATCGCTTCTGCCAATTAATACCTCATCCTTGGACCAGGCCAAGCCCATTATATTAGCTGTGGCATCAATGGATGCAGCTTCATTTTTCCGCGACAAAAGCCTTGGTGCGGACTCCCCCATATCAGTAAGTTTTCAGCCTTTTAAATGACATCCTTCCAGTGAAATTTTGCTTTGTTTTATGCTGTTTACTACTCGTTGATTAACATTCTTATGCAATGCTTTCAGGGTCTGATTTCGCTGCTGGCTGCGGTTGATGCACTATCACGTTTGGATGGTCTGGATGACCTCAATAAACAGGTTTGTCTAAGAGACTTGGTTTCTGTGCTGATGCCTGATGTCCTGTCCTTTTTTTTTTTTTTTTGTTCTTTGACTGATTAGTCTTATATTTTAATGCAGCTTGTTTTTCTTGTTTTAACTGGAGAGAGTTGGGGTTACCTTGGTAGTAGGAGATTTTTGCTCGAACTTGATCTGCAGTCTGATGCTGTTAGTGGCCTTGATAACTCATTGTTTGAGATGGTATACTTCTTAGCTGTTGCTGATGCTGATGCTGAAGTCTAATACCGAAATGATAATTACTATCTTCTAAATGAAATAGTATCCGTTTTGGACATTTATTTATTAAAAAATGTTCGTCATTTTTTGTTTCTTTACTTTCATACGTAAATTATTGGTTTACCTAATTTGTTTTGTTGTATTGGTAAGAGTAAATGGTGCAACTCACCTTAGTTTGGGTCTTTCACGTTATGTGTCAACAATTGTATTGGAAATCTAACTATTATGTCGTTGAATCTTTGTATGTAGGTCGTGGAAGTTGGATCTGTTGGAAAGGGCTTCAACCAGGGAGTCACTAACTTTTACGCTCATACCACTGGGGTAAGAACAGTTTATTATTACTCTTGAATATAAATGCTAAAGTGCTATGGCCCACAGTTAATTGGAGGTATGGAAAGGTGCACCTATGGTAGATGTCTTAGTCAGTTTACATGTGGTAGTTGCTATAGTATCCTTCTTGGTGTAAGTTTTTTAGGATAGCAGTGAAGCGATGGTGGTGTTTAAGTTGTCTACTTTCTTTAAATAAAAAAGAAAGTAGCTTTGTTTTGCTCAGTTTTCACAAGGCCATATTATTTAAATGCTGAACAGTACTTTCCTTTATTGGAGTTGCTTTCAGAGTTTCGCTGCACAAGTTTGCTGTGGATATCATAACACTTAGATGTAATCTTAAGAATGTCCTTGTTGACTTCATGTTAAACCTTCATAAAAATTTATAGTTAATGATTTCGTCTAATCCATTATAGTCGCTACATTCTACAACTGTTATCTTGCTTAATGTAGGTTTCATCTGCTACAAAGAAGTTGTGGGATGCATTAAAGCACGCTGAAGATTCCCTCAAGTCTGAAAATGTTACAATCTCATCAGCAAATGCTTCGAACCCTGGGATACCCCCGTCTTCCTTGATGACTTTCGTCAAAAAGGTTTTTGATTTGTTAGCGTACACAAAATATTTCTTACCTTGCCAGCAGTTATAGTCCTTGCATCCTTCCTTTTATTTTCTTTTTCTTGCTGATACAAGGACATGAAACAATACAAAGTTACAAACTAACATCTGTTGCAACGAAGACTTCTGTGGCATTAACATACACAGCACAAATTGCTTCTGTTTGCTTATATTTCTTCCTTTTGTTTCATTTTTTATCCCTCGGAACAATATACTACGTTAATGGGTCAGATAATATGTGTGTCTTATGTGTCTGCTTGTGAATTCAATGGAAGCTAAGAAATTGTTTCATTTGATGTGAATATCTCTCTAGAAAATCTAGAGTTAAAGCAAGAAATCTATTATCCTAAACGTACTTAAGAAATGGAATATCTCTTCATCCCTGACGTAGTGTACAGTAAGATGTAATTATCTCTTTTCTTTTTTTTCCTTTCATTTTTACTTTTTCCTTTCTTCTCTCTGCTGGTAACAGAATTCTCTTACCTCTGGGGTTGTGTTAGAAGATTTTGATACCGTCTTCTCCAACAAGTTCTATGATAGCCACCTTGATGATATTTGTGAGTTGATACGTTTTCTTAATTCTTTGTTACTGAATTGTATTTAAGGCTTTGCTGCAAGTCACTTATCCGTTTCCCCTTTTTAACCAAATTTCTAATGCAGCAAATATAAACTCTTCATCAATTGCGGCAGCTGCTTCCCTTCTGGTGCGGTCCCTTTACGTCCTTGCAAGTGATACTAAAAATTTAAGCACTTCAGCTCTAGCAGCTGTCAATGTGAATGTTTCACTAGTTGAAGAACTTATGGGTTGCCTACTGAGCTGTGAGCCTGGCCTGTCTTGCGAGCTTGTGAAAAACTATATTGCACCCTCCAGTACCTGCCCAAGCCATTATGTTGGTGTTGTTCTCGATGAGCCTTCATCCACACCGCCTTTAGAATACGTCAGTGATGTTTCAAGATTTGTGTGGAATTTTCTGGCTGACAGAACCTCTGTTCTGAAAGGCCAGAATACTAGTTCTGCTTGTTCACAAGATTGCAGCAGCGAAGGTGGAGTGTGCATCAGAGCGGAAACAGATGGAAAGGGAGTTTGTGTTGTCTCCACAACCAGGTATCTTGCTAGTCAGTTTCCAAAGAAAAGAAAATGAACAGTACAATAGGTGGCTTGTCACTGACATTTCAATTTTAGGGGCTATACATGTTAGAGTTACTCTGCTTACATTCTTCATCTCGTTGATACGCAGATATGTACCGGCATACTCTACACGGTTGCAATTTCATTCTGGAACTTGGATTGTCTTGCCTCCAAATTCATCTGATCTTATGGGTTTGGTCGATCCTGTTTGGACGGAAAGTAATTGGAATGCAATTGGGCTGCGAGTCTACATTGTGCAGTCTGCTGCTTATGACTGCCTCGTTCTACTTGGCGGTATTGCTGTTACAGCCTTGGCTTACCTCGCCATTGTAATCACCAGAGCCACCATCGCGAAGATCTTGAAGCAAGATTGAGTAGGCGCCTCAAAAGCCATTTTGAAGAACTTTTACCGAGGAGGTGTTGGGACTTGAATCGAGAGATTCTCGTTTGCGTCTTCGAATATTTTCGAAGGATGTTGCATTATTGAAGTCGCGTCCTCCGTTGGAATTTTTTAGGAATTATTCATTCCGTTTGGTTAGTGTAGGATGGATGGTCAAAGTAGTCTAGTAATGCTTGAATGAAATTCATCCTCTTAAGGAAGTCCCTGATTTCAATTTTTGCAAATATGTTGGGAATCTTCTTAGTTGGACAGTTTTGTCCCCACACTTACATAGGTGAAAGCAAAATGTCATTTCAGTTGTCCTGCTTATCTCGATTGTTTATCTGATGTGCGACTTATGGAACAGAGGAGATTTTTTCAGTGCCGTTTATAACAAGCAAAGATGTAACGATTTAATTTGGAGTTTGGATGGCTTTTGATATGTCATATACTGATATTGGATGGTCTAATTTAATTTGGGGATAAACGTGCACCTAAATTTTAGTATTTTTGTGCATTTTACTCTTTGGTTGGCCTTTTTGTTTCAATCGCCTTATTGACTTTCTTACATTTAGCTTAATGCTATATTTTTAGTTGACAAGATTTGAGTTCTCAATTCTTCAAGGGAACTCAATTTGATTTGACTTCCAACCAGTGAAACCAAACTCTGACTTTATCAGCACATTTCCTTGATATCTAGACGATCCTCATAAGCACATTGCACGGACTACGAATGTATGGTGTGGACCTTCCACGCATGATACAGGGAACCCCATTTTCCCACGCAATTTATTCAACATTTTGGGTAATTTTGACAAATACATTTTAAAATAGCACTATTAAAAATTTTTGAGTCTCTAGCCTATTGAATTTTGCCCATTTGAGTAAGTAATTGGACATATTATTATCTATAATTTGATAAATTACACTGGTTTTGACAAATACATTTTAAAATAGCACTATTAAAAATTTTTGAGTCTCTATTGGCCTATTGAATTTTGCCCATTTGAGTAAGTAATTGGACATATTATTATCTATAATTTGATAAATTACACTGGCGGCGGGTCTCCGGTCACCGGCAGCAGGTCTTTGATCACCGACGATGAGTGTAATTTGACAAATTACTATATATGATTTGACAGATTATTATCAAATGGGTAGTCTATTACAATAAAATGATAGATCTCCAGAATGATGTGTTTAAAGGTTAGTTTTTTGCAATTTTCTCCCAACATTTACAATCAAGTGAAAAGAGATAATTGAAGCCCGTTGAAATCTATTGACTTCGCAGGTTCTAATTGCGTGGTATTGAAAGGTTTGAATCAAAAATTCTAAACCTATGTGGGTTTTATTATGGTTTAAATTAGTATTTAGAAGTATTCCGAACAAGAAATAAAACATCACATCAATGACTAAAGTTTAAACTAGTATTTAATTTAGTGTGAGAATTATGAGTAAATCAGAAATAGAGTTATGGTTTTAAACTAGAAATACTATAGCAAATGGTTCAAACCCATAAGAAGAGGGGTAAGTTTCTACACCCACCTAGAATGGTTCTAAACCCGTAGCTTAGGTTCAAAGAAAAAAAAAAGAACAAAATATTGATTCAGACTTGTTCCTGAGTTCAAAATTTGATCAACACGCGAAGTAAACGAGTCTTTAATAGTTTTTGTCCAAGTCTTAGACTTAGGGTACCCCTTTCTTGAGATTGGGACCTTACACCTGTTTCAACATTTATATGCTGCTAAAATATCTTTTGAATTATCTCTCTATAAACTCTTTATTGACTTAAGCGTTAAGTGGATACGACTTAATTAACGGCTTTTTTTTTGTTTTTTAACTGACCATAAATGGCTAACATCTACTATTGATTATTCAAATATTTATTCTTAAGATTAATATTAAGAAAATTCTATTACAGGGTCTAACAAGACTCTATTTACATGATGTAATTTTAATCATTAAATTACATCATAATCATATCTTTTTGTGTATTGATTTAAGGAAACTTGATAAAAATTTGACAATTCATGAATTTATGCATTTACAGTTTAAACTATTTTTCCAATCACTTTTATAGGGGTACTTTGGGTATTTTAAGAAGTTTAAAATTTAAATAACGACTACTGTGATTATAATTAAAGGTCTTGTTCATTTCATAATTCAAGTCATATTAATATAGTGTTTTCTTTAACAAAAATTTTAAACTTAACTTTTTAACTATAATATTTTTCTCTCACATGTACAACTCAAATCATAACTTTGATGCAAATGAACATACATAAATATCCACAAAATTCAGGAGTACTAGCGTAATTTAACTATTATTTATCTTTTTTATTTAAGAAAAAAAAGGAGAGAGACAAGAATTTGACACAGAAAGGGAAAGGGCGGGAAAATTCTCAGGCAACAGGGAGTGAAGCGAAGCAGCATTGCAAATGTCCGGCGGCGGTCGGAGCATCACAGCTCTGAACGTGGCGGAGAAGCCGTCGGTGGCGAAGTCGGTCGCCACCATCCTCTCCCGCAACCACCAAGGCTTCCGCGTGAGGGAAGGCCGTTCCCGTTACAACAAGATCTTCGAGTTCCCTTACTCCATCAATGGCGTTGCCGTCCAAATGCTCGTCACCTCCGTCACCGGCCACCTCATGGAGATCGAATTCGAAGATCGATTCCGCAAGTGGCATTCTTGCGACCCCGCCCACCTCTTCCAAGCGCCTATCCGCAAGTCCGTCCCCGACGACAAGCTCGACATCAAACGCACCCTCGAGGATGAGGCTCGCCGCTGCCAGTGGCTTATCCTCTGGCTCGACTGCGATCGCGAGGGCGAGAACATCGCTTTCGAGGTCATCAATGTCTGCACCGCGGCCAATCCTCATCTCACCCTACGCAGGGCACGTTTCTCTGCCTTGATCGATAGGTTTTTCCTCTTTCTTAAACTCTTTCTTAATTTCTAGGGTTTCGATGTTTTTTTCGCTCCTTAGATTTTGGTGAATCGCAGGGAAATCCATGAGGCCGCGCAGAATCTTGTTCAGCCTAACAAGTTCTTCGCTGATGCGGTGGATGCTCGTCAAGTCAGTACCTTTCCTTTCCAGAAACTCATTTTATCTGATGTTTTTCCGAATCATTTGTTACTAGTACTGCTTTTGTAGATATAGTGTGTTAGTGAGAAGTGTGATATGATTTTGAGGAGAAGAAAATTATTTTATTATGTTTTGGAGGTCTTAGGTTCCTAGAAAAACCTACTGGATGTTAATTTCTTTCAATAAGTTTTCCATGTCACTCGCAGGAAATAGATCTTCGAATTGGTGCTTCTTTCACCAGGTTTCAGACTATGTTGCTGAGGGATGCGTTTGTTATTGATTCTGCAACTGATGACAGGAATCTTGTTCTAAGTTATGGTCCTTGTCAGGTATGTCTTTGATGCCAGCTCAAAGCACAATGATACAACTGATTTGAATTTTTTAAAAATGGATGCTTACTGCATTTGTGTTTTTCTCTCCTTGCCCAATCCAGTTCCCCACGCTTGGATTCGTTGTTGAACGTTATTGGGAAGTACAATCACATGAACCCGAAGAGTTTTGGGCTATCAACTGTTCACACAGATCAGATGAAGTCATTGCTACGTTCAATTGGATGTAAAGCTTTGAAGCCTTTTTATGGAAACTTTTATTCCTTTTGAGCTTTAGTAATTACGAAGTTTAGAAGTTCAATGACATACATAAATTTTGCAGGCGTGGACATTTGTTTGATTACACTTGTGCAGTTGTAATATATGAGATGTGTGTCGAGGAACCAACTGCAACCGTGAGTATTGATAACCAAAATGCGCATATTGACAACTTTGAAGCTCCCATTTAAATTAGCAGCTTTTTACATTTTCAGTTGCATTCAGGTCACAAATGTTAGAAAGCAGGAAAAACTTAAGTATCCTCCGTATCCTTTGAATACCATCGAGCTCGAAAAGCGTGCTTCAAGATACTTCAGGATGAGTTCTGAACATACCATGAAGGTGAGCACTTGGCGTCCCACGTACCATCATTTTCTTTCTTTGCTTCCATCAATAGTATCATTCCTAGTATACATTTTATGTCCTTTCAAATGAATCTTATGCTCTTCCTTAGTTTCAAGCCTCCTTCAATCACCTTAAGTGTCCACTAATCATTTTGAAGCCAAACAAACAAAATTTTTAAGCATTAGATGTAAATATGTGTTGTCGCACAAAATACACATGTTATTTGAAATACATTTTGATTTGTGGTCCAATATCTTCAGCGTTAGATGTACAATTTTTTACTTGGTATGCTCGCTGTTTTTGGTCTTATAGCTGACAATGTTTTGCTGGTTGAGTTCTAGATGAAATTCTAAGCACTGGGTTCACTGATTTTCTCTGTATAGGTGGCAGAAGATCTGTACCAAGCAGGTTTCATCAGTTATCCTCGCACAGAGACAGATTGCTTTTCCCAAAGGACTAATTTGCATGTTGGTAACCGTCTTTGAATTATATTAAGTAACATTAGTGAAGGAAGTAATCCACATATCAAAGAGTCAATTGAAATTTATGATATCAAGATAATAGGCAGTTGTTACTGAATGTAATTTGATTCTCTTTGTTTTATGTTAGTGCTTCCGTTAGTAAATGCTTGTACTCAGCCCCTTGTTAAAATTACTTATGGTTAGAGCTTTGACTTGATCAGGCGATAGTGGAAGAGCAGCAAGGGCATCCTATATGGGGATCATATGCACAAAGGTTATTGGACCCTGGTTCCGGACTTTGGAGAAACCCTGGTAATGGCGGACATGATGACAAGGCCCATCCACCCATTCACCCAACAAAATTCTCTGCTGGAGAACCAGCATGGAGTCAAGATCACCTTGTAATAAGACTGTTATTATGTTTAGTCCAAGTCAACATTGCATCTCTATTCAGTTTTCCCCATGAATTCAATATTATTTCACCTTTCAGAGGTTATACGAATTGGTGGTACGCCATTTCCTTGCATGCGTCTCGCAGCCAGCTGTAGGGGCTGAAACTACTGTTGAGATTGATATTGCTGGTGAATTGTTTTCGGCATCAGGGAGGGTTGTATTAGCCGTAAGTTCTCTGCAGGATTCCCAGTTTTTAGTGTTCTTTAGTGAAAATTTTATTTTTATTTATTTGTGGGTTTGTAAGTAGTAAAGACACTTGTTTTTTATTTATTATTTTTTTTTTTCTGTGGGATGACAGCTAATATATGTAACCAAGTTTGCCTGAAACTTTGATCATTGCAATTTTGATTAACTTTTCATTCATAATTGGGCTGATGTGATTTAATAAATCTTTGACACTAGGCTAAAGGAGATGCTTATTCATATAGAATACTTAAACAAATATTAATACAAGCACTGGAGACTTTGTTGAATTACTTTATACATTCAAGAAAATTGTCGCAATTTCTCTCCCGCTCAACTCAATGGTTCTTATTCTTAGCTACTTGTATTAACAGAAAAATTACTTGGACATATACCGCTTTGAATCATGGGGAGGTTCACTAATACCAACTTATGTTCTGGGGCAACAGGTTTGCTACATCTAACTTCAGTCTGGAGCTCGAATTTTGTCTCTGTTTTCAGAATGTCGTGTTTCATATATGCTTCATTACTTCTTTAACAAACACGTACTCCGTCCTGTCTGCTAGATGAAGTTCTAGTCTAGCTTCAGCTCATATGCTTCCTATGAAGTTGTTTCACTGCTAGATATGTACTTGAAACTCAATGCAAGTGAAGAAAGATGATCGACTGTTCCTTTACATGCATATATGTATGTACACACACACACACACCACACTCCTAAAGTTAGAACTCCTCATTTATATCACGTTCCTTGTTCTCACTACGCAGTCCTATTGGTTACCCTTTCCTACTAAATAAGTATATACAGTGCAATTTTCTATGTTCTGAAATTCAAATACTTTCGCCTCTTTAGCATGTGTGTGATCTTAGAAATAGAGAACATTAGATTTATTATGTTTTGCAGTTTGTTCCCACAACGTTGACTCTTGATTCAGGAGTGACTAGACCGCCACCACTTCTGAGTGAAGCTGATTTGTTAAGTTGTATGGACAAGGTGATAAATATTAAATGCTCTGTTCTTGCTGGACTTTATTTCTATTATTTATTCTACTCATCTGTTTATCAGTGCAATAGTTATTCCACTTGCTAAACGCAAGGACCTATTTCCTGTCTTCTTATCTACGTTCTAGGAGGGCATTGGTACAGATGCAACTATGCATGATCACATAAAAAAGCTGCTGGATCGATGTTATGCGACTAAGGACGCAAACACTCGTTTCTCACCCACTAATCTTGTAAATTTTCTGCGTCTAACTTGTTGCAGAAATTTTTGTTGCAATCTCATATATTTGATAAATTTTATTGCACATGATTTCAGGGTGAGGCGCTGGTTATGGGATATGATGACATGGGGTGAGTTTTGATCTTGTTTTGTAGCTTTAAAGCTATAGTAATCCTTTTATTTTTCTTATCAGAAAATGTACAACTTTGAGGGCATACTAACTAACTAGTGATGTATACGTGTGTCTATGACTCAACTAAAAAAAAAAATGCACCGCATGCAATTTTAATTGCAAAACCATCATCATGTCATGTGAACAATAAATTGGAAAATGCACTTTTCATTTGCTTTGTATGTGTCACTATTTATACTATATTTGCACCAAATCTTATGCCTTGGCACTGTATGTATCCGCTGGCTAAATTATTCTAAGTTGCTGATGTTTGTCTATCTAGGTATGATTTCTACCTCACATTTTATTCCCCACCTTTTTTGACGTTTGTGTTAAATTGAGATAATAAAGTTGGAATACTTTGCACCGCAGGTATAAATTATGGAAGCCATATCTTAGAGCCGTCATGGAGCGGGACATGAAAGCAGTTAGTGAAGGTGCAAAGAGCAAAGCTGAACTTTTGGAAACTTGCTTGCAGCAGATGAAAGCTTGCTTTTTGGATGTAAGTTCGTACTCTCTATTTCTGTGGCTATAGATTTTTGGTTCCAGTGGTGCTATGCTCTGACTTTGGTTTCCTGCATGCTGTTATTAGCATTACAAAATTGCTCTATTACCTTTATGAATCATCACATTACTCCCTGCTTGATCTGGAACTTGGCGTTTTGATTTTATATATCTATTTAGCTCTCCCTTGCTAGTATGCTCTAGTTTATCGGTTCTTCACACTTAACTCAATGCCAACCAAAAATATAAGAATTCATCATTACTCTCCCTTCTTTTTCTTCCTCTATATTCCATGTTTGTTCCAATATAAAAATATCTTGCTGTTTCCTTCATATATAGTTGCATAATATTGTCCTCCTGACAGCTCTCTGAATGGGTTTCTCTTTTCCAACCTCTTTTTAAATTGAGGAGTTTTTGTTGCCATTTAAAATAAATCCAGTGAATGATTATGGACAACGATAAGTTGGCTATTTAGTTGCTATGTGCACTCTTTCTTGCATATGTTTATCCCTTGTGCATTATAGGTATACAAACAAGCAACATCAGTTGTTACATCCTTGGGCATATTTGCAGGCAAGGTTAAACAAAGCTAAACTCTTGGAGACCATGGCAATTTTCTTTGAGAGGTAATTGGTAATTCCTATATGTTTTTTGTGTTATTGGCACCGGATTCCTTAAGTGACATGCTTCCATCCTTCATGTAGATCTAATAGATCCAGTGGAGATGAGCAACATGGACCTGTAGAAGTTGTCCGGCCGTGTGGACTTTGCCACGAATCAGACATGGTTCTTAAGCAAAACCGGGTAATCAAGTATATCTTGAATTTCTCCTAATATAAGTTTGGCTGGTAATTCATTTTCTGTTAAGTTATCGGTTTTTCTTTTTCTTTTTCTTTTTTTTTTCTCTGGCCACTCTAAAATGTGTGATTATTACTTTCTGCATCACTAATCTGCTGAACAAGGATCACACTGAAGCTTTTAGCAGTGCTATGTGATGTTACTGGAGTTAAAGGATGTTCCTTTTATATATATATATATATATATATATTCCGTTTCTGAGAATGTTCTATTTAATTCTTTTTTTTTCCCTTTTTAATCTGTTGGCATTAGAATGTATTGTTCTCTCTCTCTCTCTCTCTCTCTTCTCTCTCTCTCTCTCTCTCTCTCTCTCTCTCTCTCTTTTCTTTTTCATGTTAGTCCAACATGAAAACAAATATATATTCACACACACACATATATATATATAATTATATATCAATATCTAAATTGTTACTTTCTGGTATTTCACGCTTATAGGGACCTTTTAGTTTTAGTTTAGGGTTCCATTCGAGAATATATATTTCGTTTTCTTTTCTGAGTCATTTAGGTTGTGTTTCTTTTTAAACTGGTATTCGTTCTGTCTGCAGGATGGAAATTTCATGGTCGGATGCATGGGTTATCCACAGGTTTGTAACCTAGTGTATGAGACATGTGCTTTACTACAACTCACATGTTTGCTAAAGCACTTATAGAAATAGTAGAGCATTTGAGAGTAAAAAAAAAAAAGGTAGCAAACGAGTTTTCAGTATGGGAGCGTGATATTTGTATCCCTTTCAGGCAAAGATATTTCTCTGAAACTTTCACTTTTTTTGTTTTGTTACGTTGGATTTGAAAGGTTTATTGAAGTTTACTTTTCTTTTGGTTTGAATGATTCCTTGTTCTCCTTTGGCTACGATAGTTTTTTAGTTGTCACTAATAAAATTTCTAATTCTTAAAACCGGAAGAGAAGAAAAAAGTGGCAAAAAAAAATTACTGATCATCTTCACTTGGGATCCAGTTGTTTGCCGTTGATTAAAAAATGTGTTAATTATAACTTGTATGCAGCAGGAGTTTCTAATAGATTGTTCTCATCTAGTTATTAACCAGTACCTTCCTTGAAATAATTCCATCCTTTTGGCACATCCAACAATTTTCCCTGGCATTGTCATTGATCTGTGCTCTTGTTTTCAACATGTGGAGAAATGGTTTCTAAACTGACCCAACTTTCGTAGGGTGATGCGTGGCTAGCCAGCAAAGTTCTTGGAAAACTCATATTTATACTGATAGCTTGACTTTTATTAACTATTTAGAGCTGTAATATAATGTGAGCTGGTCCCAACTTATTTTGTAAACTTGAATTAGGGTATACCTGATTTCTTAAGCCTCCTTGAGAAACTTGTTCTTATCTGGTCTCTTTAACTATGTTCCTCACGGAGAAACTTGCTGACTTTGAATCTCCTTTTCAGTCAGTCTTCACTTTTGTGATGGTAATTACATCTTTTTGTTATACTTTTTAGTGTAGGAATGTTGTATGGCTCCCTGGTTCTGTATCAGAAGCTGCTGTAACATCCAATATTTGCAACTCTTGCACTCCAGGTTATTTTAATATTGTTATTTCAACATTCTTGCTTAATTACTCATTTAAATGCTACTGAATCCAACACGAGGTTTGCTACAAGTTTTTGGCCATACTAACTTTTTAGTCATACTAACTTTTGTTTCTGTAGGTCCTGTCCACTTGATTCAGTTTAAATTTCGCCGCTTGGAAATACCACCCGACTACAATGCGAGCCATTTGGGTATGTATAACACAAGGAATAATTGGGCTGTCTATGCATAAACTTTGTATTGGGCTTTCTTGATCAGCCGAATTACTTGTTACTTATTGCTGTGTGGTGTTGCTGCATTATAATACGACATATCGTTGTATTTTCCATTAATTACTTTATTAATTATAGTTTACTTTAAGCACCTGTGAGCTTGTAATGGTGAGTTTCATGTTACAAATCAGGTTGCATTGGTGGCTGCGACGCGATTCTTAGACAGTTGATAGAAATTTGTGGAACCGGTACCAGGATGTCAGGTTTGTATGTTTTTATGTATTGCGAGTCCAAGAAATTATTTGAATAAAGCATACGTATACTAAATTTCAACTAGTGCATTTCTTGTAATGTTTTGGTGGAAGTTCTTAAATCTGCAATTAGCAAGTCAAATATCCAAAATTAGTTTATTAACATATAATTTCTTATGCTGAGAACGTAAGACTGTGGAAACAATAATGTGGTGGGCATTTTCTTTTTTTTTCAGTCCCTGAGCAGTTATTTCACAGAAACCGAGTCTAGCGAACATAATACATCTATCAGTTAAGATGTATTTTTTTTTTCGCTTAGAATTAGCGTTACCAACTTATGGGCCATGATGTTGCCTCATTTTGAAGGTCCTTGTGGTTGATCTGCCAATGGGTTTGGTGCGTTCTTTGCTTCCGTGTGTTTTATCAAAAAAAAAAAAAAAAAAAAAGAAAGAAAAAGAAAAAGGTTCTTTTCTTAGAAAGCTATTTTAATTTATTCCATTAAAGGAAATTTCTGTCCTATTTGCCACCAAAAGTTTAGTCTGTCACAGTGGATCAGGAGTAGAGTTCAAAAGACCAGACCTTGTAATTTAAGTTTCTGAGTAGATGCAGAACTTCAAAAGACATTGCATGTTTATCACCACTCTAAGTATTGTTCGAATTTTAAAATATCAACCTGACAAGATCTATTTGATTTCTTTGTGCGTGTGTGCTCGTGCATAGATATGCATATGCACATGCATATGTATACAAAGAGAAATGAGAGTGATGCACTTGCGTAGATATAAACACATCACAAAAATGGAAAGGCTTTTACGAGTTTAATTATTACCTATAAACACGCGTGCGCACACTTGGATTTGTACATATGTATGTATAGATACACACATACATTCTCATACTGGATATCTTTTTCTTATGTTTCCTCCTTACTGTGCATGAACTTCTGAAACCAATCTGACAATATTTCAATATGTGCTTCAGCAAGAGGACGCGGACCCACTGCATCATCAGGCAGTGCCCAACAAACTAACACTCGACAAGGTGTTTGCATATACTGCCATCAAACTGGGCATTCTTCAAGCGATTGCCCTTCCCAAGTTTCAGCCCCTCAAAGTACTAGATCTCGTAGAGCAAACGTACAAAGTGGTGAGTAAATGATTTTGTTATTTCCGAAATATTTTTGGCAAAGTATTGAACGATCAAATTAGTTGAACGTGAGAAACGTATGCTGGGAGAGACAAAGCTGAGTCACTGACAAATATACTGCTCTATGTATTTTATTTCAAATATATACTGCTCTAGGTATTTTATTTCAATGGATGCAATCAAAGTAACAATTTGATAAGGATAGGAGGAAAGGAATAGCTTTGGACTCTCTAGAAGAGAACACCCTCGACAAAGTATACAGAAATTCCTAAAATTGAGTTTGATGCCTCCGTCAGGACAGTGATAGCTTTTTTACGGAGTTTAAAAAAGTTATCACGGATGGGGAAAAGCCTATTGAACAAAACAGTAAACAAACACACCCTATTGAAAGAGATATCAAGCAACAAATATGACTCGAAATTGAGTTCTTGCCAGCCTTTTGAACTTGCTATGTTATTTAATGAGAATAAATTGGATGATTTCAGTTTATATCATGTTGCCATCCATGCTTGGCTACAGGCTAGAATAGAATTTCCCAATTTCATACTGTGCAGGTGATTCATCAATTCCATGTGGTACTTGTGGAGCTCCGTGTCCTTTGCGGACTGCAAATACAGCAAACAACAGAGGGCGAAAGTTCTACTCGTGTCAGTCACAGGAATGCAACTTCTTTGTGTATGTGCACTCATTCACAATCCTGATTCTGATTCTATCCTCTATGCTTTAAAATGATAAAACTCCAGATTATCTTTCAAACCAGAGCCTGACTTTCTTTTGTTTTTGGCCTTTTTTTTTTTTCTCTCGTCCAAATTTCTTATCCATCCCTTTCCTTTTTTTCAGATAGTAGAAGTATATTGTTGTACATCTATTGTGCAAATTTTGTGTACGTACACTCATACATCTTTGGCCTCTCATGCAGATGGGAGGATAGCCTCAGCAATGGCAGTGGAGGAAGAAGTGTCCCGCGAGCAAACACGCGGGCCCCAGCTTCTAATTCCAGCAGGAACGGTGGCCACGGGAGAGGCGGCCGAGGCACAACTCGGGGGGCTGGTGCGACTTTTGTGTCAGCAACAGGTGATCCAGCTTCTGGCAGGTGCTTTGTTTGCGGCGATCCATCACACTTTGCGAATGTCTGCCCCAATTAGGGATGTAAATGGGGCGGATCAGGACGGGTTTTTGGCGCCCTGCCCCGGTATATGGGGCAAAAAGTCAGGTGGGTCACGGTGCCCCGGTTTTTTTTTTTAATTTTTAAATTTACTTTTATCAGTAATAAGGATTCATTTCAGTCTTGAAAAACTGATAATTAAATTATTCAATTTAATAATGAGTAGAAAATGGCTTTCTCAATTAGGTTGTAGAGACTGATGCGGTGAATGTGGTGCACGCAGTTAGTTAGCCAAATCTGCGATCATCCGACTCAAATGTGATTGGTGATATCCTTCATCAAATTTCTCTAGTTTCTTCTTGTGGTTCTGTTAGTTAAATTCTTCTTGTAATTAATCTTCTTTGTACTATGTATCTTCAATTGACGAGCAACCCCTTCAACTTAAATTTTAAATTTAAATTGATAAAATGAATGGAGTCAAAATAACTTTCCATTTAAAAGTAGGGAACCACCAGACAACTTCCCCTTTACAAGCAGAATCAGTGCATCATTTGTTGTACAATTATCTACTGTCAATGTAGACAATTTGTGGTCTACATTCCAATCCATCAAACAATCAATCAATGCATTAGTTAATGTCGGACCATCGTGTGGAGATGGAAGATATTGAAAACTCAAAATCTGGGATCTTAAAACCCAAGATTCATCAATAAAGTGCCCGGTCACAGTCATGCACCCTCTCTTCTGATTGTTAGCTGTCCACATATCAGTTGTAACGGCAATTTTACAGGAGTTTTTCTACATTAGCTGTATTGCATTCTCTTTCTTTTCCTTATAAATCTTAAATATATAGCTTCTGATGGTGTTTCTCGACATCATCTTAAACATGGGGCATGCAACGCTCATCATTTCAATGAAACCAAAAGGATAATCATACAAAATAATCATATGGGCTATTTTCTCTCTAAGCAACTCCGGATCAAAATTGTATCCGCCGATTGAAGGATCCCCACCACTGCTCTTCTGTCTTTTATTTGTGTCTCCTTTCAACTTAGGACATCTACTCAAATGTTTATGCAAAAGGCTTGTACCATTTTTACTTTCTCCTCCCAATATCCTCTCACAATGCTTACAAATTGCTTTCTCTCTCCCATTAATCTTTTTTATATCATAATAATCCCATACAACATATTGCAAGTTCCTTTTTCTTCCTCAACTATATCTTCCTCTTCCACTTGATAAGTACTCTCGGCCCCATGATTGGAAGCACTCTGCACAAATTCCACTTCTTCATTAATACTTGATGACTCCATTAATTCTGCAAAATAATAAAAGCAAAGTAAATAAATTCAAATTTAGACTAAGAATAAATTACTCTCTTGTTCTCGGGGAAAATACTAAAGAGCTGCTTGCAGAGCTCATTGTAACCAAATGCATATGACAATTATACCACCCACCAAGGAAGTAAACAAACAATTGAAAGAAAACGTAGATTTGCAGTCAGACTAGTCATCGATAATGTAAATAATGAATAAATATATTGAGATGTATAAAAAATTCAGAGTTGCACAACAGGAGAATCCTTTAATTTAATTAACATATGAACATCCTTACAAATAAAAGCCTTAATTCTTTCTCAAATCAGTACTTATAAGAACAGAAAAGAACATCCTTACAAATAATTAGATCATCAATCATACATACTTACAAGAACAGAAAAGAAGACTCAAAAAAATTGAAACGAAATCCTAATGAACCTCTAAAGCATTACATAAGCACATATATTTTGGAATTGATTGGATTTTAGAATAGGAAATCCTAAAGATCACTCAGAGTGGAAACAAATTCCTTCATCAAGTAGTACAACACTCCTGAATCAAACTATTGCAACATAAAATGGCCAGGAGAAATCTACCACCTTCAGAACGCTAAACTGAAAATCTAAAAAAAGAAAAAAAAAATTACTAGCAGCAATACACAAGAAAAAAAACATTAAAAAGGATTCAGACCTTACAAAAATTTACATAAACTGATTCAAAAATTTGATCAATACCCTTTTCTTGAAATCAAACAGCAAACTTAAAAGAGCACCCAAAGAAGAACTCGAATCCAAGATGAATTTCAGAGAGAGAGAAAGAGAGTTACACTTTTTACCTGAATATAAGGAACGGATTACGAACGATGATCAGCGGAAGCGACGGCGGCGCCGGAGTGCCGCAACGGCGGACACCGGAATGCCGCGACGGCGGACACCGGAATGCCGCGACGGCGGAGGATGACGGTGGAAGACAGCTATGGACACCGGGGGGAGAGAAACAGAGAGGGGTTAGGGTTTGACGACGGAGGGAAATGAAATCTCAGACCTCGTTCATTTCACCGATTCGAGTTTAGAATTCAAATTTTATTATAGTAAAAAACATTCAGAAACAGTCACATCAAACTTTTTTACTACAGTAAAAAGCTCTCACATAAAGTCACATCTTAACTTAAATTAAAAATTCAAATCAACAAACTAAACGAGTCCTTTAATTAAATTAAAAACTCGAATGAATGACTGAGGTCCTTAATCGAGTAATCAAGTTTTTTTTAATATAAATGGTGCGGATTCGGGGCGATCCATCCCGCCTCGCTCATTAAACGGGTCATGACCCACCTTGAATCATGCCCCGATTGATTACAGGACGACCCACCCCGAATGGGCCGGCTCGGAACGGGGCACTACACTAGAGTTTCACCCGTTCCCCTAGCATTGAAATACTAGGAACATATTGCTAGCTAGTTTGGTGCCTGGTGAGTAGTGGTTCAAGACCAACTAAACTGATTTGAAAGGATTGACTACATCTGTCTTGACATGTATAACAGAAATAGAGATGCAACAATGGGTCGGAACTTGTGGGCCGGCCTAGGCCTATCTTGACACAATGACAGGTCAGGCTGGCACGATCCGTCACTATTCAAAGCACGGTCTAACCCATAAATATTAGTGGGTTGGGTTGGGCCAACATATATCAGTCCATGGCCGGCCCATGAAATATCATGGGTTTGGGTCGGACTGGGCCGACCCATCTAGGCTCATGATGGCCCAGCCTAGCTCGCCCATCTAGGGCCATAATATCTTCATGTTTTTTTTCTTTTTTTTTAGTAATTTTGTAAACATTTTATGCATAATTATCTTGATCGTACTCTTTTTTTCGTATTAAGATTTTGTCCTATTGGGTTTTCCTTAGAAATGTTTTTATTTAATGAGGCAATCGTAAATAAATATCTATTTTCATATTTCTATTGACTATTCAAACTTTTTATATTTGTTAACTTGTTTAAAAATTCAAATATTCAAAAATTAATTATTGGATATTTAGATGAGCTCGACCATCTAAACCCATGATGGGCCAGCCCATTCAAGGCCCATGGCTCAACCCAGTCTGACTCATGTAAAATTGGCTCGTGGTGTGGGCTGGGCCGAGGTAATTCTTATACGGGCCGGCTTGGTCCAGCCCACAAAATTCATAGGTTGGGCCGGCCCGGCCCACGGCCCGCGTAGGCCTAAGGAGAATGGGCGAGGCCGGCCCGTTTTTACATCTCTAAGCATAAACAATACCTGTGACGACCTTAACTTTTGATCATCATCCTACGTTCGTACTTAGCATTACTTAACCTCTACTAATTTCTAATTATAACATCTTAAAAATTCAGGCTAATTTTTTTCTACCATTCATACATCTAAATGCTGTAGCATTTTGCTAGCATTCTGTTTACAGTAAAAAGAATATTAAAAAAAACTTCATAAATTTTTTATTTTGCAAAAAAAAAATCATTACAACTTTAACTTATTTTTAATTAATAATGGATATTTCATAGTTAAAAGTTAAAATTTAAAATAGTTTTAATTTCAAATTATATTTTAAGTCATAAAGTTACGAAAATACTCTCAAAATAATAAATTAAATGTCAATTTTCGTTAAAAGCCTAACGGAATAGACTTTTTTAATTAATATTTTATTATATAAGGGTGAATGTTATATTTTAAAGATCATGAGGATAAAGTGTTACAACGGACATAACTCATAGTGAATTTTTGTAATTAATCCTAAAAATAAACTGTGAAAATTTATTTTAAGAATTCTATTGTAGGCACCAAGAAAAAAGTACCTATTTTTAGTACTTAAAAGTCTAAGTTTAAAATTTTAAGTGAGAATATCTAAATTAACATGCAAAATTTTTAACACTTCAAAATTAGTGTTGGTAGAGAATTTTTCTCCCAGAATTCTCCATTTCATAATCTTGTTTGATGTTCCCCTTATTGTGGTCACACGGCCAACAACTAAAAAGTAGCAGCAAAAATATTTTATGGGAAAACGGATAATCAACCAATGTACCCTGGCAAAATATAAACGACAAAAAAGAAAAGAAAAGAAAATCAGCAGCTAAGGATAGATAAAAACTTATATGAAATTGAAATTAAAAATAAAAAATCAGCAACTGGGTAAGGAAAGATATAAATTTATACGAAATTGAAATTTTAAAATACAATATTGAAATATCTTAAATTATACGGTATATATTTTTGATAAGTATAAAAAATATGGTATATAAAAAGTAAATAATCAATTCTTAGGGCCAGCTGAAATTCACAGGAAAAGAAAAAAGAAAAGAAAAGAAAAGAAAAATCTTACTTCCTCGTATCGTATCTCTATCTCGTTACCCCTTTTGCGCTCTAATGTCATCCAAAACCAAAAGCAAAACCAAAACGAAGAAGAAGACTTGTATCTGATTACTTCCCATTTCTCAACCAAACCAGGTTTCTAACGTTTCCTTTATTTGTTTGTTTATTTATTTTTGTGTTACTTCGATTCAACGGCTTTTGTTCAAGTCCCAAAGCTTGGATATTGGTCTGTCTGGATTTTGAGAGTTTTTTTTTATCCATATAGCTTTCTTATTTTTATTTTTATTTATATTGTTTAGTATTCAAGTTGAAAATCCATTTCAAAAAGGAAAAAGTTGAATATTTGGAAGTTCATGTATGTAAAGATTAGTTTTTTCGCCTGACGAAGTTGTATTAGCAACAAAAGCCATATGTATAATGCTGGGCAAAGCTTATTCTCCACCATTAGACTTGCATTTTATTGTTTTTCTGGAAATGGGTCCAAGACTAGAGTGCAATTCATTGTTTAAATTTCAAGGCTTTTTTTTTTTTTTTTTTTTTTTTGCAGAAGTTAAAGTAGCAGCAAAAAAGACATATATACAATGCTGGGAAAAGCTCATTCTCCACTATTGAACTTAGACTTGAACCCATCCATCATCCACCATGGACCCACAACCTCATTCCCTCTCTCTCTCAACCTTTGGAACTTGGGAACTCAGAGGTTTGGTTCTTCTTCTTGTTGTAGTTGCAAATCTATGGCCACTGATTTTGAGAAATCAGAGGATTCCCACCACAAACCTCAACCCCCAGGTACTGCCTTTTTTTTCGTCAATTTTGCCATTCTCATAGAGGAAAGAGGACAAGGTATCCTCAAGTATCAAAACAAAAACAGAAAAACAACGTGAAAAGACTCTAAAGAATTCACAAGTACTAAGTTTGGGAAATAAGAGTTTGTGATGGGATGCATTTCGAAAAAAGAGTTCAGGAGTGTGATGTTTCCAGAGCTATAGAAAAAAATCGTAGTTTGTTTTTGTGTTTTTGTGTTTTTGTGTTTTTTTTTTTTGTTTTGGACTCCCTGTCCATCTTTTATTGAACTTATTTCAGATTTATAATAGAATCATATAAAAAAAAGTTATTCATTCGTAACTCTGATGTCATCATTGGTGCAGATGCAGCAGCTGGCACTCCAACAATTGTGCGTTCCACGACGAGTTTTGGGAGATTGAAAGTACAAAGAGCAAAAATTCCCCGGTTCGTAGAAAGACAAGAACAAGATGAACATTTACCTTTGGCATTTGATGATGAATCTGTTGATGTTGGCTCGAATGCCGGGGTTGAGCTCGTGAAGGGAGCAGGAGTTTCAAGCCATTCTCGGTGGCAACGATCCGGGGACAAGTCATCTGAGACTAGAAAACACAGCAGTGCAAAGGCTCCAGCTCCTAGAAGATGGAATTTAAGACATGACTCACTAGACCTAACCCAACGGTCAAAATCAACCTCTGGTGCTGCTGACTTTTTTAGTAGGAAATCCTTTAGAGATGTAGGCTGCTCCGATTTTATGATTGAATGCCTGAGGAAGCTGAATTTTCAACGCCCCTCAAATATTCAGGTATGACAAACATAGTTCTTACCAGTTTCCAACTTGCAATTACTAATGCAAGTTGCTAATTTTCACAAGCTAACCCATCTGACTCTTTTGTATTTGGTCAGTTACTATCTCCACTTCTTTGTAGATTAGGAATGTGCCACTTTCTAATTTCTTTTGATAAGACCTTGTAGTATATTAATACTGAAAACTGTACAAAAATATCGAGGACAAGAAGTCCGCAGGTGAAAGCAACTAAGATACATCAAAAAGAGAAAAATACCAGTAGAAAACCTAGACTTTTAGAAGCCTAGTACATCTTTTGAATCCTACAAAATTAAAGAAATGGAAAGTCAAAAAACTTTATTAGTGAAGCCCACAAAGAATGTTTAGCCTTTTTGAAAAGGGGGCGCAAATACCTTTCCCTTTTCTTTGAAAATGTTCCCCTTTCTAATTGAAGTTGTATTTTATGCGGATTTTATTCCCCCCCCCCCTTTGGTTTCTATCTCGTTTGTTTATTTATCCCATAATTAGGTGGTGGTATCGTTTGTGTGCTGCTATTGTGCTTGGCTAAGCAGTGTGCCATTGCCGTATTCAGTAGTGGAATTACCTTACAAAGAAACTTTCTGAAATCTGAACCAAATAGGATGATCCCTCGAACCGAAAGAATGTGGTTTGTTTAATGTTTTTGTTAAATGTTAATGCGTCTTTCTTGGCTGCCCTGATAATTATTTTCCAGTTCAGTTCTTTGGAGATTGCATTATTAGAAATCTTTTGCAGATTGCATTATTAGAAATCTTACTTTCTAATAACTTACATACCTTTGGAGATTGCATTATTAGAAATCTTACTTTCCCATAACTTACGTACGTATCCATAATGATTTTTATTGGTCCAACGGATTGGGGTTGGCTATATGGATTTCTCGTTTTCAGTATGCTCTATTAAACACGAGACCCTCCTAAAACCCTAGATCTTGAAAGTCGTGCCTAACTACGTCAGCCTAAGTAATTCTTGGTCTATCACTCTCTCTCCTAGTACTAGGTATTTGGATGTTCTCCTAAGCACGAACAAGTGCATCTAACGATCTACGTTGTACATGCCCGTACCACCTCAGACAGTTTTTCCGCACCTTATCTTTTATTGGTGCTACACCTACTTTACTACGAATAACTTCATTCCGTATGCGATCCATCCTCGTATGGCCACTCATCCATCTTAACATATGCATCTCCGCCACACTCATCTTGTATATTTGTTGTCTCTTGATGGCCCAACATTCACTACCATATAACATAGCCGGGCAAATTGTTGTCCTATAGAATTTTCCTTTCAACTTAATAGGCATCTTATCATCATATAAAACTCCCGTGGCATTCTTCCACTTAACCCACCCCGCCTTAATCCTATGTCCAATATCCTCATCTATATCCCCTTTACTTTGCCCTATGGACCCAAGGTACTAAAATTTCCTAGAAGCCCCAATCACCACACCATCCAAAGAAATTCCATCACTCTGATCTCTCAAATTACTAAACCTACAATGCATGTACTTAGTCTTCGTTCTACTTAACTTAAATTCCTTCGTCTCAAGGGTCTGTCTCCATAGTTCTAACTCACGGTTAATTCCCCCCCGATGTTTATCAACTAAAACTATATTGAAGTGAATGAATAACCAAAGAAAAAGGAAAGTCTTTAAAGACTGTCAGTCGTGACATTTCATGATTTCATCGACTGCAGGCCATGTCATTTGCAGCTTTTGCAGCTGATAAAGAGGGAAAGAGCTGTATCTTAGCCGATCAAAGTGGATCTGGAAAGACATTGGCGTATCTTGCTCCCGTTATTCAGCGTCTTAGGCAAGAAGAAATGGAAGGAGTGAGCATGTCTTCTTCACAGAGTCCTCGACTGGTTGTATTGGTGCCAACAGCAGAGTTGGCTTCTCAGGTCTGGTCTGCTCATACTTTTACTTCTTTACGCTAAATTCAATTTTTGTCACCATTTTCTGCCACTTCTATTCAACTCAACTTTGTTTTTCATGGAAGAAAGATGTAATTGTAACCATTTTTTATTACCATTAAAGATTTATTTTTGTACTTAGGAGTTCAGATTTGTAAATTATGACTCTGTTGTAATTAAGGCTTAGCCAAGACAAGACATGATTTAAGAATCGGTCATGAAGCCAGCCCCAAATTGCACAGGGATTCATGTATTTTGCTGAGGTGTAATTATTCATATCAAGAGAGGACATGATGAGATATTTTTTGGTATTACGTATTAATATATTTTGGTATTTCCTCCTACAATATCGGATTCAATTTATCTGCAAAAAAGAAATCAACCTTTTGATTTATAGTGACTTGTACGGGTCTGTGATCTCTCTTTGAAAAGCCATCTTACTTGGACATGCCCTCTTTGCTTTTGTGCAATATTCAACGTCCATACATATAAAACTGAGGGTCTGTGTATAGAGGCTGTATTTTGTTGGCAGTAGAGAGAGTTTGTTAATGACCATGGTACATACGCATGAGAAGGCATCAATTCCTTTCCCTCTTTCTTTTCTGTGCTACCAGATATAACGCCAAAAAAAAAAAAAAGAAAAAAAGAAAGAGAGAATATTTTACTGTCCCATTTGAACCTCTTGAATATTTAAGGCATTAGCTATTACTAATGCAAGTGTAACTTTGGCAGGTTTTGGGTGTTTGTCGATCAATGTCGAAAAATGGGGTTCCTTTCCGGTCTATGGTTGTGACAGGAGGTTTTCGTCAGAGAACTCAACTTGAGAATTTACAAGAAGGTGTCGATGTCCTAATAGCAACACCTGGTCGTTTTATGTACTTGATCAAAGAGGGATTCTTGCAGCTATCAAATCTGAGATGGTATCCCATTTTTCAGAGCTGTATCTTAGCCGATCAAAGTGGATCTGGAAAGACATTGGCGTATCTTGCTCCCGTTATTCAGCGTCTTAGGCAAGAAGAAATGGAAGGAGTGAGCATGTCTTCTTCACAGAGGCCTCTTGTATTGGTGCCGACAGCAGAGTTGGCTTCTCAGGTCTGGTCTGCTCATACTTTTACTTCTTTACGCTAAATTCAATTTTTGTCACCATTTTCTGCCACTTCTATTCAACTCAACTTTGTTTTTCATGGAAGAAAGATGTAATTGTAACCATTTTTTATTACCATTAAAGATTTATTTTTGTACTTAGGAGTTCAGATTTGTAAATTATGACTCTGTTGTAATTAAGGCTTAGCCAAGACAAGACATGATTTAAGAATCGGTCATGAAGCCAGCCCCAAATTGCACAGGGATTCATGTATTTTGCTGAGGTGTAATTATTCATATCAAGAGAGGACATGATGAGATATTTTTTGGTATTACGTATTAATATATTTTGGTATTTCCTCCTACAATATCGGATTCAATTTATCTGCAAAAAAGAAATCAACCTTTTGATTTATAGTGACTTGTACGGGTCTGTGATCTCTCTTTGAAAAGCCATCTTACTTGGACATGCCCTCTTTGCTTTTGTGCAATATTCAACGTCCATACATATAAAACTGAGGGTCTGTGTATAGAGGCTGTATTTTGTTGGCAGTAGAGAGAGTTTGTTAATGACCATGGTACATACGCATAAGAAGGCGTCAATTCCTTTCCCTCTTTCTTTTCTGTGCTACCAGATATAACCCCAAAAAAAAAAAAAAAAAAAGAAAAAAAGAAAGAGAGAATATTTTACTGTCCCATTTGAACCTCTTGAATATTTAAGGCATTAGCTATTACTAATGCAAGTGTAACTTTGGCAGGTTTTGGGTGTTTGTCGATCAATGTCGAAAAATGGGGTTCCTTTCCGGTCTATGGTTGTGACAGGAGGTTTTCGTCAGAGAACTCAACTTGAGAATTTACAAGAAGGTGTCGATGTCCTAATAGCAACACCTGGTCGTTTTATGTACTTGATCAAAGAGGGATTCTTGCAGCTATCAAATCTGAGATGGTATCCCATTTTTCTTCTGAATAATGGTTTATGGGCTGCTAGTTATTCGTAGAGACAATCTGTTTTTGTGTCTTACAGAGTTGATAGAACCCTGTCTGCACAATTCTACGGGAATTGCTGTGGACGGCCAAAGTGAATTGAAGAAAATGGCCATAAATTCATTATTTTGCGCACAAATCAATTGATTCATAAATGCTGAAACTCTATAAATTACTGCATAGAAAATGAATTGATTTACCGAAAATGGCCATTTTTTAAACCCCAAAAATTCAGGTTTTTTTTTTGTTTTTGTTTTTTTTTTTAACGTGCAACTGCCAAAACCAACCATATCACAGTCGCCCCCCTTTTATTTTTCTGTTGCTGAAAATCTATAAGAAAAATATTGCTCTCAGAGCAAAAAGAGAACAGGTTTCTTTTTGGAAAGATCCTTGAAGTGGTGGTCAAGTCTTGACCAACCAACTATAGCGTCTTGATCCCTCTTTCTCTTGTGATACAACAGAGATATATAATTTATTGATAATTACTGACAATTGCAATTAAAACCTTCCGTTGCAGTGCCGTGCTAGATGAAGTAGACATACTCTTCAACGATGAAGATTTTGAACGAGTGCTACAAAGTTTGATAAGTTCTTCACCTGTTACTGCGCAATATTTATTTGTGACTGCAACATTGCCAGTTGACATTTACAACAAATTGGTTGAAGTCTTTCCGGATTGTGAGGTGATCATGGGACCCGCAATGCATCGTATAAGTGCCGGCCTCGAAGAGGTTGGTTTCATGATTGATCTCACTAATTGTCAAGCATGTCCTCTTACTCAGAAAGCTTTCTTGTAAGAATTGTAGACATCAAAAGAAATTCTAGAATACTTGTGTTACGTAAGTGCGGCGAGTATTGACTGGCTTGTTTGATATCTAGGTGCTTGTAGATTGCAGTGGAGATGATGGAACTGAAAAAACTCCAGAGACAGCATTTCTGAACAAGAAATCTGCACTTCTGCAGCTTGTGGAGGGAAGTCCAGTTCCAAAAACAATTGTTTTTTGTAACAAGGTAACGGGTAGGCGTTCATTGTGTACTTGATTTGATCTTCATAGTTTTGAAACTTTAACAATGCCGTGTCCGCCTAACTTGCAGATAGAGACATGCAGGAAAGTCGAGAATGCATTGAAGCGCTTCGATAGGAGGGAAAACCAGGTGCAAGTTCTACCATTTCATGCCGCTATGGCACAAGAATCGCGACTTGCAAATATGGAAAAATTCGTCAATACTCGCCCGGAAAAGGTCTCTCAGTTTCTAGTTTGCACCGATAGGTAAGCTCTTAATTCATTTGGGTGTTTGTTTGCAACAGTTAACAAAGGAAATGCTATTTATCACTAATAGTGGTACAATCGCCACAAATGTAAACATTATATTAAGACCGCAACAAAACTTTAGTAAGGCCAGTTCTTTTATTTTTTGCCATATGATCGTTCTCTTTTACTGACACGCGTATCATAATGCATCGTGATTGTTTACAAAGTCAAATTATTTAATTAGAGAACATGATCTTTCATGATATGAATGGCAGGGCATCGCGTGGAATCGATTTTGCCGGAGTGGATCACGTTGTTCTCTTTGACTTTCCGCGCGATCCTAGTGAGTATGTGCGCCGTGTCGGAAGAACTGCTAGAGGTGTTGCAGGAAAGGGCAAGGCATTCATCTTTGTGGTGGGAAAGCAAGTCTCTCTCGCCCGCCGGATCATAGAAAGAAATCAAAAAGGGCACCCGTTGCATGATGTGCCATCAGCTTATGAGCTCTTCAGATGAAGGCCTGTTTTCTCCGTCTGTAAATATAACAAGATGCAGTTTTAGTAGTGGTCAATTTTGCCATATAGATTATTGTTATGGCTAGTTTTGTAGGAAAATGAAAGATAATGGATGTGTTATTTATTTATTTATTTTGTGGGGGGAGGATAAAGAGACTAACATTTCAAGGAATATGCAATAGAATAAGATATTAAAAAAAAACTGAAAATTTGTAAAACTTACCAACAGAGCTAAGGAGAAAAAAAGTTGGTACACTGAATATGCATAATGTATAATACATATGAGCACATTTTCTAAATGTTTAGACTATTTTCAA